TATTCTAAAATTGATTAAATAAATAAAAATCCTCAGCAATCTACACACAATACCCCATAATGACAAAGTGAAAACATGTTTTTATAAATTTTTGCAAATATATAAATAAGCATTTCTGTTTAAAAAAATATATATATTTGCAAATATTTATAAAAACCTGTTTTCACTTTGTCATTATGGGGTATTGTGTGTAGATTGCTGAGGATTTTTATTTATTTAATCAATTTTAGAATAAGGCTTTAACGTAACAAAATGTGGAAAAATCAAAGGGTCTGAATACTTTCCGAAGGCACTGTAATATCACCCCATGCCTAAGTATTCAGACCCTTTGCTATGAGACTTGAAATTGAGCTCAGGTGCATCCTGTTTCCATTGACCATCCTTGAGATGTTTCTACAACTTGATTGGAGTCCACCTGTGGTAAATTCAATTGACTGGACATGATTTGGAAAGGCACACGCCTGTCTATATAAGGTCCCACAGTCGACAGTGCATGTCCGAGCAAAAACCAAGCCATCAGTTCGAAATGAATTGTCCGTTGAGCTCCAAGACTGGATTGTGTTGAGGCACAGATCTGGGGAAGGGTACTAAAACATTTCAGCAGCATTGAAGGTCTCCAAGAACACAGTGGCCTCCATCATTCTTAAATTGAATACTTTTGGAAGCACCAAGACTCTTCCTAGAGCTGGTTGCCCAGCCAAATTGAACAATCGGGGGAGAAGGGCCTTGGTCAGGGAGGTGACCAAGAACCCGAGGGTCAGTCTGACAGAGCTCTAGAGTTCCTCTGTGGAGATGGGAGAACCTTCCAGAAGGACAACCATCTCTGCAGCACTCCACCAATTAGGTCTTTATGGTATAGGGGCCAGACGGAATGCACATGACAGCCGGCTTGGAGTTTGCCAAAAGGCAATTAAAGACTCTCAGACCATGAGAAACAATAATATTTTGTCTGATGAAACGAAGATTGAACTCTTTGGTCTGAATGCCAAGTGTCACATCTGGAGGAAACCTGGCACCATCCCAACGGTGAAGCATGGTGGTGGCAGCATCATGCTGTGGGGATGTTTTTCAGCGGCAGGGACAGGGAGACTAAAAAAGATGGCGCCCGAGGGGATGGCTGCCGTTTTATGGACTCTTAACCAACCGTGCTATTTTGTGTGTTTTTTTGCATTGTTTGTAACTTATTTTGTACATAATGTTGCTGCTACCATCTCTTATGACCGAAAAGAGCTTCTGGACATCAGAACAGCGATTACTCACCTTGAACTGGACAAATAATTTTTCTTCAATGAGTCGGACGAGAGGGATTTGCTCCAGACACCCGACAGGGCCCTCATCCCCGTCATTCACAGTAGAAAGAAAAGGAGATATCGCGGAAGGAGATCGGGTGCTTGGTAAGGTGCCGACGACGAGTGGCTAATCTGCCTTTGCTATCGATACTATTGGCCAATTTACAATCGCTTGATAATAAAGTGGACAAACTACAGGCAGGAATATCCTACCAACGGGACATTAAAAACTGTAATATCTTATATTTCACCGAGTTGTGGCTGAACGAAGACATGAATAACATACAGCTGGCGGGTTGTACACTGAATCGGCAGGATAGAACGGCAGCCTCTGGTAAGACAAGGGGTGGTGGTCTATGTATATTTGTAAACAACAGCTGGTGCACGATATCTAAGGAAGTCTCAAGGTTTTGCTCGCCTGAGGTAGAGTATCTCATGATAAGCTGTAGACCAGACTATCTACCAAGAGAGTTTTCATCTATATTCTTCGTAGCTGTCTATTTACCACCACAAACCGATGCTGGCACTAAGACCGCACTCAATAAACTGTATACGGCCAAAAGCAAACAGGAAAACGCTCATCCAGAGGCAGTTTTCCTAGTGGCCGGGGACTTTAATGCAGGCAAACTTAAATATGTTTTACCTCATTTCTACCAGCATGTTAAATATGCAACCACAGGGAAAAAAACTCTAGACCACCTTTACTCCACACACAGAGACGCATACAAAGCTCTCCCTTGCCCTCCATTTGGCAAATCTGACCATAATCATATCCTCCTGATTCCTGCTTACAAGCAAAAACCAAAGCAGGAAGCACCAGTGACACGGTCAATAAAAAAGTGGTCAGATGAAGCAGATGCTAAGCTATGGGACTGTTTTGCTAGCACAGACTGGAATATCTTCTGGGATTCTTCCGATGGCATTGAGGAGTACACCACATCAGTCACTGGCTTCATCAATAAGTCCATCGATGACGTCGTCCCCACTGTGACTGTACGTACATACACAAACCAGAAACCATGGATTACAGGCAACATCCGCACTGAGCTAAAGGGTAGAGCTGCCGCTTTCAAGGAGCGGGACTCTAACTCGGACGCTTATAAGAAATCTCGCTATGCCCTCTGACGAACCATCAAACAGACAAAGCATCAATATAGGACTAAGATTGAATCGTACTACACCGGCTCCGACGATCGTCGGATGTGGCAGGGCTTGAAAACTATTACAGATTACAAAGGGAAGCACAGCCGCGAGCTGCCCAGTGACACAAGCCTACCAGACGAGCTAAATTACTTCTATGCTCGCTTCGAGGCAAGTAACACCGAAACATGCATGAGAGCATCAGCTGTTCCGGACGAGTTACAGGATTGACGATTTCATCTTCAATCAGCCATCAATCCCCTTCTGACAGGGGGAATGGAAGATTGTTGTGTGCAACAGCACAGCAAATTGGCCAGTGTTACCTAGAGTAGATTTTTCAGTGTAACATTTATAGTATTGATTCAAGAGTTAAATGAACTCTGTACGTGTTAGATTAACACTCAGTGTGGTAAAAGAACCCCAGTGTTGATGTTCTAAACTACTGTTACTTGGATTTATTGCACCTGTTACTAAAATGGTTGTTCCAGTGTAGATGTTTAATGCAGTCTCATATCTTAGTCTTCCCAACCCTGGCATTCTGAATGCAGGTTGCAGGTGAATAAAAATTCAAAATGTTGGATAACCCCACTCTGGCTAGATTCCAATATGAATTATACTGTACATCACTTTGCAAGCCAGTATAATGTGACTTGCAGGACACTGTTTTAGGGTGAAACTAGGCCCTCAAAATAAAACCTTATGAAATGCATATTCTCTTAAATCATTAAATTACAATATTTTCACTTAGGTTCTCACTTGGTGAAGGACACATGCCTGCAATCAAATGCAAATGAATGCAACAACCAAGTCTTTGTCAATAGCAAATACAGTCATGGGTGGTAACTACAATTCTTTGAAAGGCACTCTGGGAAATATGCAAATAAGGCTATACACTAAGCAGTGTGTTAATGTAACACTGAAAAGTGTGGACCCGTATAGACACTGGAACAGTGTTAAATGTAAAACTCTCAGTGTTGATTTAACACTGGAGAATTTGCTATGAGGGAGTGGCAATTGAATGCAACATTGAAATTGTTAAAACAATTCTAGCCTGTCTATCTATGGGTAGACAAGCTCAGTTTTCCACCACAAAACACCAGAAAATGGCCAAAAAGGGTAGAACCAGCTCACCTGCTTTTACACTATGATTTGACTATTAGATGTTTGTTTCTTTAGATTTAAAAAGAAAAAATAAATAGTTTCACCATAATAAAACGAGAGTTCAGTTCACGTAACAGGGTTGACCTTAAAATGAGGGACGGACATAAATGAATCACTAATCACATGAAATAAATAAAAATCTTCAGAAATGACTTTGTCAAAGCAACAAAATAACTAATAAGCTTCACAATGATGGTGAAAACTTTGAGAAATGTTGGGGTTAAGTGGGTTAAAATCATGAGATGAACAAAGATTTACGAAATGCGATTTGTGTTTAGTGCTATTAAAATACTTTATTTGAACATTCAACTCACAGTTTTATCTGCACAAAAACTGCCTATTGCCAGTGATACATTCAAATGAAAATCCTCCAAATCCTCCATGCTTCGAAGCGTCAGCTAAACTGATCGTGTCAAGATTACAGCACTTGATGCACTGCATTTGTCTAGAAAATTGTTACAATAGTAACCATTGAAAGTCTAAAAAACAACATCTGTGAAAGAGCACAATCAGATCAGAATGTAATCCGTGCGAAATGGTCACCTATTTATTAATGCGAAGAATTTCTTAAAACTTGAATTTCCCAGCATACATGTACAGTACCAGTCAAAAGTTTGGACACACCCACTCATTCAAGGGTTTTCCTTTATTTTACTACTTTGAAGAATCTCAAATATGTAAAATATGTTTTAATTTGTTTAACACTTTTTTGGTTACTACATGACTCCATATGTGTTATTTCATAGTTTGATGTCTTCACTATTATTCTACAATGTAGAAAATAGTAAATATAAAGAAAAACCCTTGAATGAGTAGGTGTGTACAAACTTTTGACCAGTCCTGTATCTCAATCATTGTGAATTTCAAACCATTGAGGGATTCAAAAAAAACATCAGTCAAGTAGACTGCGTTTATTGAGAACTTTGTAAAATCTCCCCAGATATTTCTGGTAATCGTAAATAGTGTCAGAGTAAATAAACAACATGACACTCAGTGAAAAAAAACTATAAAGGGTGCATTTATCTGTGCAAACCCTACTGGAAATGTTACACACAATTAATGTTCCATGACTTTATAAGAAAAAAATAAAATAAAAAATACATGTTAAAATTCAATTTGTGTTACAGTCAAATGTGTTATTGTGTAATTATTGTATCTACAATATGTTTTTTTTGTATTTCCAGTAGGGTACAGTCACAGCACAGACACACAGGGAGGTTATATTTTATTAATACGGGACGGGACTATGTGATTTAACGCCTTCAGTATTTCCATTCTTACGGTATCTATCACCTCAGAGTGACACATCAACCGGTTTCAGCATCATTCTCCCAGCACCTGTTCAGTATCTTGATGGCATCCAGTTCAAATTGTGCCACACCGTTTGTATCGTATAGCGTTTCAGTTGACTCATTGTCTCCCATCTGACACCCTTTGTTGTGGGGGAAAGGTGATAGAGGCATATTCCACTGTCTCTGCAGGCCTCACCACTCCTCCCTCCCTCTCCCTCTCCCTCCCATGCCTGTTCCCCTCTCCTCCACTGGGTCTACTATTAAAGTCCAGCACGCCGTACTCCACAGCATACACAGACATGGAGGTGGACGCCTCTCCTGACCCCTGCGAATGTATACAGTATGCGTAAAAAAACACACAAAAAAACAGAACCTTTGCAGTTTATTGGATTTGATCAAATAAATCTGTAAAAATACATTTTAGTAGACACTCTTATCCAGAGTGACTTACAGGAGCAATTAGGGTTAAGTGCCTTGCTCAAGGGCACATCGACAGATTTTTCACCTAGTCGGCTCGGGGATTAGAACCAGCGACCTTTCGGTTACTGGCACAACGCTCTTAACCACTAAGCTACCTGCCGCCCCGGCTTGGTTTGGTTTGGTTTGTTAAACTTTTTTTTTAAACTTTGTATTAGGAATTTGTCTTATGGTTGTGGCTAAGCAAATGTGTCAAAAGTCTAACAAACCAAAGAATGGGATTCTGAGAGACACCAATAGAGCGTGATCTTACCTGTTGCTTGGCCTTGACGTCCTCTTGCTGGTCCCATTCTGGACATAAGATAAATATATTACTGAGCGTCAATCATAGACAAATTATCCTGCATTTTGTCACTTACAGTTGAAGTTGGAAGATTACATACACCTTAGCCAAATACATTTCAACTCTGTTTTTCACAATTCCTGTCATTTCATCCTAGTAAAAATTCCCTGACTTAGGTCAGTTAGGATCACCACTTTATTTTAAGAATGTGAAATGTCAGAATAATAGTGGAGAGAATTATTTATTTCAGCTTTTATTTCTTTCATCACATTCCCAGTGGGTCAGAAGTTTACATACACTCAATTAGTATTTGGTAGCATTGCCTTTAAATTGTTTAACTTGGGTCAAACGTTTCGGGTAGCCTTCCACAAGCTTCCCACAATAAGTTGGGTGAATTTTGGCCCATTCCTCCTGACAGAGCTGGTGTAACTGAGTCAGGTTTGTAGGCCTCCTTGCTCGCACACGCTTTTTCAGTTCTGCCCACAAATGTTCTATAGGATTGAGGTCAGGGCTTGGTGATGGCCACTCCAATACCTTGACTTTGTTGTCCTTAAGCCATTTTGCCACAACTTTGGAAGTATGCTTGGGGTCATTGTCCATTTGGAAGACCAATTGCGACCAAGATTTAACTTCCTGACTGATGTCTTGAGATGTTAATTCAATATATCCACAGAATGTTCCTTCCTCATGATGCCATCTATTTCGTGAAGTGCACCATTCCCTCCTGCTGCAAAGCACCCCCACAGCATAATGCTGCCACCCCCGTGTTTCACGGTTGGGATGGTGTTCTTCGGCTTGCAAGCACACCTTTTTCCTCCAAACATAACGATGGTCATTATGGCCAAACAGTTCTATTTTTGTTTCATCAGACCAGAGGACATTTCTCCAAAAAGTACGATCTTTGTCCCCATTTGCAAACCGTAGTCTGGCTTTTTTATGGCGGTTTTGGAGAAGGGGCTTCTTCCTTGCTGAGAGGCCTTTCAGGTTATGTCGATATAGTACTTGTTTTGCTGTGGATATAGATACTTTTGTACCTGTTTCCTCCAGCATCTTCACAAGGTCCTTTGCTGTTGTTCTGGGATTGATTTGCACCTTTCGCACCAAAGTACGTTCATCTCTAGGAGACAGAATGTGTCTCCTTCCTGAGCGGTATGACGGCTGCGTGGTCCCATGGTGTTTATACTTGTGTACTATTGTTTGTACAGGTGAATGTGGTACCTTCAGGTGTTTGGAAATTACTCCCAAGGATGAACCAGACTTGTGGAGGTCTACAATTTTATTTCTGAGGTCTTGGCTGATTTTTTGGGATTTTCCCATGATGTCAAGCAAAGAGGCACTGAGTTTGAAGGTAGGCCTTGAAATACATCCACAGGTACACCTCCAATTGACTCAAATTATGTCAATTAGCCTATCAGAAGCTTCTAAAGCCATGATATAATTTTCTGGAACTTTCCAAGCAGTATAAAGGCACAGTCAACTTAGTGTATGTAAACTTCTGACCCACTGGAATTGTGATACAGTGAATTATAAGTGAAATAATCTGTCTGTAAACAATTGTTGGAAAAATTACTTGTGTCATGCACAAAGTAGATGTCCTAACCGACTTGGCAAAACTATAGTTTGTTAACAATAAATTTGTGGAGTGGTTGAAAAATGAGTTTTAATGACTCCAACCTAATTGGATGTAAACTTCCGACTTCAACTGTATCTTGAACTTTCCATTCAGGAACTGCAAGTAACCCAGATCAAGACTATTCTAGAGTATAAAGTTTGTATAATATATGCAAGATTATCTAACATCATGGCCTACAGTGTGAAGATTATATAACATCATGGCCTAAAGTGTGAAGATTATATAACATCATGGCCTACAGTGTGAAGAATTGAAGTTGGGAAAAGTTAGTCTATTCATATCCAAGGATGTTAGTAATCCAGATCATATTTGCAGTGGTGTGGTATCTGCAATCAATCACTTTCCTCAGTCAGAGGAGGTCGCTGGATGGAAAGCCTTTTCTACTGGTACAGTGAGGGAAAAAAGTATTTGATCCCCTGCTGATTTTGTACGTTTGCCTACTGACAAAGAAATTATCAGTCTATAATTTTAATGGTAGGTTTATTTGAACAGTGAGAGACAGAATAACAACAAAAAAATCCAGAAAAACGCATGTCAAAAATGTTATAAATTAATTTGCATTTTAATGAGGGAAATAAGTATTTGACCCCTCTGCAAAACATGACTTAGTACTTGGTGGCAAAACCCTTGTTGGCAATCACAGAGGTCAGATGTTTCTTGTAGTTGGCCACCAGGTTTGCACACATCTCAGGAGGGATTTTGTCCCATTTCTCTTTGCAGATCTTCTCCAAGTCATTAAGGTTTCGAGCCTGACGTTTGGCAACTCGAACCTTCAGCTCCCTCCACATATTTTCTCTGGGATTAAGGTCTGGAGACTGGCTAGTCCACTACAGGACCTTAATGTGCTTCTTCTTGAGCCACTCCTTTGTTGCCTTGGCCGTGTGTTTTGGGTCATTGTCATGCTGGAATACCCATCCACGACCCATTTTCAATGCCCTGGCTGAGGGAAGGAGGTTCTCACCCAAGATTTGATGGTACATAGCCCTGTCCATCGTCCCTTTGATGCGATGAAGTTGTCCTGTCCCCTTAGCAGAAAAACACCCCCAAAGCATAATGTTTCCACCTCCATGTTTGACGGTGGGGATGGTGTTCTTGGGGTCATAGGCAGCATTCCTCCTCCTACAAACACGGCGAGTTGAGTTGATGCCAAAGAGCTCCATTTTGGTGTCATCTGACCACAACACTTTCACCCAGTTCTCATCTGAATCATTCAGATGTTCATTGGCAAACTTCAGACGGGCATGTATATGTGCTTTCTTGAGCAGGGGGACCTTGCGGGCGCTGCAGGATTTCAGTCCTTCACGGCGTAGTGTGTTACCAATTGTTTTCTTGGTGACTATGGTCCCAGCTGCCTTGAGATCATTGACAAGATCCTCCCATGTACTTCTGGGCTGATTCCTCACCGATCATTGCAACTCCACGAGGTGAGATCTTGCATGGAGCCCCAGGCCGAGGGAGATTGACAGTTATTTTGTGTTTCTTCCATTTGCGAATAATCGCACCAACTGTTGTCACCTTCTCACCAAGCTGCTTGGCGATGGACTTGTAGCCCATTCCAGCCTTGTGTAGGTCTACAATCTTGTCCCTGACATCCTTGGAGAGCTCTTTGGTCTTGGCCATGGTGGAGAGTTTGGAATCTGATTGATTGATTGCTTCTGTGGACAGGTGTCTTTTATACAGGTAACAAACTGAGATTAGGAGCACTCCTTTTAAGAGTGTGCTCCTAATCTCAGCTCGTTACCTGTATAAAAGACACCTGGGAGCCAGAAATCTTTCTGATTGAGGGGGGGTCAAATACTTATTTCCCTCATTAAAATGCAAATCAATTTATAACATTTTTTTAAATTTGTGACATGCATTTCTCTGGATTGTTTTGTTGTTATTCTGTCTCTCACTGTTCAAATAAACCTACCATTAAAATTATAGACTGATCATTTCTTTGTCAGTGGGCAAACGTACAAAATCAGCAGGGGATCAAACACTTTTTCCCCTCACTGTACATAGCGATGCTTGAGAAGGCATTTGTTGAAGACGTACAGAACATGACATGGAGGGGGACACACACCAGAAAAACACATCAGAGAAACATGATGCTTCTGTTTTGAAGTGGGTCAGGGGAAAAACAAACGAGACTTTGAGACAGCGTTTGTGAAAACAAACAGTTTGCAATTTTTCTCCCTGTCTCCGTGCTAATCTGTATTCTCTGTGTAGGTGGTTATTTCCTCTGGTTAAGGGAGGCTCATATCAAAGTGCGTGAGTCATGCATGTGAAACTGCGACAGTGGCTCATTCGGAGAGGTGTATTTCACCTCACTAACAAGGTTTCCATCCAACGTTTTTATGAAAATAAAGTACATGTCTGATAAAAAAATGTAATGACAGGCCTGATGGAAACTGCAAATTTGTCTGTAAACTTTCCAAATGTCAACAAAATACGCTACAAAAGGCGGGATATTTTTTGTGTCTGTAAAATTAACAATGCAAGAAATGGTGGTGGAAATGCCTTTATGCACAAATGTTGATATAATAACCATCATATTGAAGTAACCTTGGAGTCACACGATGATATGTTGTGTGGTCCTCCCACTACCACTCGGGAAAGCATGCAGTTTATTAGAACCTCTAAAAGTCTAGGGGGGTTCTATGGAATTGTTTTAAGATGGTTATACCATGGATCATTTAGCTATTTGATTTAGTATTTTAGTACTCCTTTAGGTATAAAATTATAAATTTTTTTGGATACAATATAGAATTTGGGCTTTACTACTATAGCCCATGGAAACGCATTGAATAACACATTCATAAATGGCAAAAAAGACAGTCAAAAAATCTATAATAAGGAATAAGGTTTTGAAGTGTCTGTCCTTTATCTAGGAGATATAAGAAAGGCAAGGAAATAGTTAATTTTTTTGGACACATATTTAACCCCTTGTTTTTGTTGGCACAAAACTATCTCCATACTTCCATTCATTTGTATGGGTTACCTTCAGACGAGTCCCATGAAACTTGTGGGGGTCGTAGAGCAAAACGGAGAACGCCATCGTGTTCGTGAGAGTCTCTCCTTTCCACAGTGTGGTCAAATTAGTTTGTAGCTCAGACGTTTTTGTGAGAAGACAGATTTTTGTGGATGTCTCATGGTCTGACAAACACCACTGTAGCTCGGTCACCTTCCACTGCAGATGCGGAAGGCCGACATTGGCGGATGTGGTGAATTGAGATGCAGTCCATGCAAAAAAACAGATATCTCTAGTTTAAACTTATGGATCCTTCCTTTGCACAAAGGTAATCACAATTGTTAACAGCATTTCCCCCAGAAGTAAAACAGGAAATGACAAACTTCCACGAGATAATTTTACTTTTGGTTAATTAGATTATGCACAGCCTTTTATCCGCAACAAGTCAATTTGATGGAAACACATCTCTGATGGGAAAATGCGCAAACTGTTTTTATGCGGATTTTAGAATATTTGCATGAAAATCTATCACCAATTGGATGGAAACCTAACTACTGATGCTTATAAAAAAAAAACGCAATTGATTTCCGCTCCCTTAAGAATTACTCCATTCATCAGTTTGATCAAGCAAAATTATTTGACTGATTAAGACTGTAAGGCTATGTTTCAGATAATAAAGATGGATCTTTGTGTGGTCCTCTGTAGCTCAATTGGTAGAGCATGGCGCTTGTAACGCCAGGGTAGTGGGTTCGATCCCCGGAACCACCCATACGTAAAAATGTATGCACACGACTGTAAGTCGCTTTGGATAAAAGCCTCTGCTAAATGGCATATTATCTTTGGTCCAGGTGTCGACTTAAGTACAGAAAGAAAGCAGTCGATGGACAAGGACGAAGGCCTTAATCTATCTGGAATTAGAACTACAATAGATACTATGGCTAGGGATAATGATAGGACCCTTCAATACCTGGGCTCCTGTTGTGGGTCCAGCAGAACCAACCAAGCAGTCCCATTAACAGAGCTATGATGGGTACCCCCAAAACAGCAAAGATGATCAGGACAGGAACAGTCCTCCCACTACCACTCGGGAAAGCATGGGTTTCGTCTTCTGCGGCAATAGGGGTGCATGATGGAGATTCTGGAATAGAAAATGGCCTCTTAGATGCGACAGTAAATCACGGTAAAGCAGAGTAGGGTCCAGAACATGTTGTCCAGAACATCAATCTTCAAGGTCAACAATCTTGACCAAAAGCTTTAAAGGTCATTAGTTATCTCATTTAAAACGGTTGCTTGGGTTGGTTTTGCATTTTTAACAGATAGTACTTGTAAACAAGGTTGTACACTTAGCTGGGTTCAATACAGGCTGGAGGGACATTTAAGATAAATAAAAAACATAATGTGACATATCATGGAAACCCTTGTGCTTGACGTTGACTTAGAATAGTTTGAGACATTATACTGTGAAGAGAGCAATCTTATAGCCTACCTGTGGTGTTACCATCCGATTGAAGGATAAGCGACACCTTATTGCTTTTTAGCATGGGAGGATCTCTATTGGTTTGGAACAACGTGATCCAATACGTTCCGTTGTCAACTGATGTCAGATTTCGGATGCAGAAAGAGGCCTTTTTATTCTCAAAGATGCAGCTTTGGCTTTGTGAGCAACAGTTGTGCACACTATGATTACACTCACTGATCTTTTTAGAATCTTTGTAAAGACCAATTGAATAAGCAGATGGTTTGGACATGTTATGAAATGAGAAGTCGATGGTGATCCCATTACCAATGATTCCTACCACTTCCTTTGCCCAGCTATGTCCTGGAAAAGAGAGAGGAAGTCAACAAGTTAGGACATGACCTGATGATTTAGGTACACAAGACGTTTGTTTTTTGACCTGTGACATCTACCTCCACCTGATAGCATAACATACACATATTGTAGATTCATATTGTTATGGGCCTTTAACATCAAGCTGAATGCTTAATTTTAATATATAAAACTATGTTTGTTCTAGTCATTTAGCAGACACTCTTATCCAGAGCAACTTACAGTTAGTGCATTCATGTTAAGATAGCCAAGTGAGACAACTACATATCACAGTCGTAGTAAGTACATATTTTCTCGATAAATAAGTTATCAGCAAAGTCAGTGCTAGTAGGAAAAGAGAAGTACAATATAACATATAAGAAACATACTTCATCACTGTGCATACAGTATTGTGTATATTTTCTGTATATGTGTCTTTTCCCAGGAACCCAGTTACCAGCTTTCATTGACTAGAGATATGATCCACAAACAAATATTCCTTGGACAAAAATGTATTCACAGGGATTTGAAGAATTAAACAAAGCAATACAATAAGATTTTAGGACCAAAGTGGAAAAAAAATATGAAAGGAAATGGAATGCCTTTTACAGTGCCTTGCAAAAGTACTCATCCCCCTTGGCGTTTTTCCTATTTTGTTGCATTACAACCTGTAATTTAAATGGATTTTTATTTGGATTTCCTGTAATGGACATACACAAAATAGCCCAAATTGGTGAAGTTAAATGGAAAAAATAACTTGTTCCAAAACATTCTACAAAATAAATAACGGAAAAGTGGTGCGGGCACATGTATTCACCCCCTTTGCTATGAAGCCCCTAAATAAGATCTGGTGCAACCAATTACATTCAGAAGTCATTAATCAGAGAGGCAACAAAGAGACCAAAGATAACCCTGAAGGAGCTGCAAATCTCCACAGCGGAGATTTGAGTATCTGTCCATAGGACCATTTAAAGCCGTACACTCCACAGAACTGGGCTTTACGGAAGAGTGGCCTGAAAAAATGAATAGTTATGCACACTCAAGCTTTCTGTATTTATTGTCTTATTTCTTGTTTGTTTCACGATAAAAAATATTTTAGCATCTTCAAAGTGGTAGGCATGTTGTGTAAATCAAATGAAACAACCCCCCCCCCAAAATCTATTTTAAATCCAGGTTGTAAGGCAACAAAATAGGAAAAATGTCAAGGGGGTGAATACTTTCGCAAGCCACTGTTGAAGGTATGAGAGCTTCAGAAAGTATTCATACCCCTTGACTTATTTCACATTCTGTTGTGTTACAGCCTGAATTCAAAATTGATTGAATTGATTTTTTTTCTCAACCATCTACACACAATACCCCATAATGACAAAGTGAAAACATGCTTTTAGAAATATTGGCACATTTATTTAAAATTAAATACAGAAATATATAATTAACATAAGTATTCACACCCCTGAGTCAATCCATGTTAGAATCCCCTATGGCAGAAATTACAGCTGTGAGTCTGTCTGGATAAGTCTCTAAGACCTTTGCACATCTGAATTGTACAATATTTGCACATTGTTCTTTTTTAAATTCTTCAAGCTCTGTCGAGTTGGTTGTTGATCATTGCTAGGCAGCCATTTCCAAGTATTGCCATGGATTTTCAAGTCAATTTAAGTCAAAACTGTAACTAGGCCACTCAGGAACATTCAATGTCATCTTGGTAAGCAACTCCAGTGTATATTTGGCCTTGTGTTTTAGGTTATTGTCCTACTGAAAGGTTAATTTGTCTCCCAGTGTCTGTTTGGAAAGCAGACTGAACCAGGTTTTACCTGTGCTTAGCTCCATTCCGTTTCTTTTTACACCCCCAAAAAACTCCCGATGACAAGCATACTCATAACATGATGCAGCCACCACCATGCTTGAAAATATGAAGAGTGGTACTACTCAGTGATGTTAAGTTAATTTCTTTGCCACATTTTTTGCAGTTATACTTTATTGCCTTATTGCAAACTGAATGCATGTTTTAGAATATTTGTATTCTGTAAAAGCTTCCTTCTTATCACTCTGTCAATTAGGTTAGTATTGTGGAGTAACTACAATGTTGTTGATCCATCCTCAGTTTTCTGCTATCACAACCATTAAACCCTGTAACTGTTTTAAAGTTGTCATTGACCTCATGGTGAAATCCCTGAGCAGTTTCCTTCCTCTCTGGGAACTGAGTTAGAAAGGATGCCTGTATCTTTGTAGCGACTGAGTATATTGATACACCATCCAAAGTGTAATTAATAACTTCACCATGCTCAAATGGATATTTGCAACAATGCACTAAAGTAATACTGCAAAACATGTCGCAAAGCAATTCAATTTTTGTCCTGAATACAAAGTGTTATGCTTGGGGCAAAACCAATACATCACATTACTGAGTACCACTCTCCATATTTCAAGCATAGTGGTAGCTGCATCATGTTATGGGTATGCTTGTAATTGTTAAGAACTGGGGAATTTTTCAGGATAAAAAGGAAACGGAATGGAGCTAAGCACAGGCAAAATCCTAGAGGAAAACCTTGTTCAGTCTGCTTTTCACCAGACACTGGGAGATTAATTCACCTTTCAGCAGGACAATAACCTAAAACACAAGGCCAAATCTACACTGGTTGCTTACCAAGAAGACAGTGAATGTTCCTGAGTGTCCCAGTTAAATGTTTTACTTAAATCTATTTGAAAATCTATGGCAAGACCTGAAAATGGTTGTCTAGCAATGATCAACAACCAATTTGACAGAGCTTGAAGAATTTTTAAAATAATAATGGGAAATGTTGCACAATCCATGTGTGGAAAGCTCTTAGAGACTTACCCAGAAAAACTCACAGCTGTAATCGCTGCCAAAGGTAATTTTAACATTTATTAACCCAGGAGGTTGAATACTTATCTAATCAAGATATATTAGTGTTATGTTTTTCATTTTAAAAAAAGTTAGATATTTTCTTCCACTTTGACATTACAGAGTATTTTGTGTAGATCATTGACAACAAAAAGACAATTAAATTAATTGTAATCCCACTCTGTAATACAACAAAATGTGGAAAAAAGTCAAGGTGTGTGAATACTTTCGGAAGGCACTGTAATTGTATGTGTGGGGTACAGAGATGAGGTAGTCATGTAAAAATCATGTTAACCACTATTATTGCACACAGAGTGAGTCTATGCAACTTATTATGTGACTTGTTAGGCACATTTTTACTCCTGAATTTATTTAGGTTTGCCATAACAAAGGGGTTGCATACTTATTGACTCAAGACATTTCAGCTTTTAATTTTTTATTAATTAGTAAAAATGTCTAAAAACATAAATCCACTTTGACATTATGGGGTATTGTGTGTAAGCCAGTGACACAAATCTCAATTTAATTAATTTTAAATTCAGGCTGTAATACAACAAAATGTGGAAAAAGTAAAGGGGTGTGAATACTTTCTGAAGGCACTGTATATATGCCTACCCCAAATCAAAGAAATACTATCGAAAACTTTTCATTGTCACCTTGTCACATTTTCCACAAGCTAAAAGTCACAAAAAAAACAGTTCACGTGAATAGAGACATCTGTGGGTTTGAATTTATGGTGAATCTTGAATTACATTGGATTAATTATACAGCCCATACAATCTTGGTTGTTCCGAGACAAACATACTATACATATTTTTTTTTTTTTTTTTTTTTTTTGGTCATTTAGCAGACGCGCTTATCCAGAGCAACTTACAGGAGCAATTAGGGTTAAGTGCCTTGCTCAAGGGCACATCGACAGATTTTTCACCTAGTCGGCTCGGGGATTAGAACCAGCGACCTTTCGGTTACTGGCACAACGCTCTTACCCACTAAGCTACCTGCCGCCCTACATACTCTGTGCTACTCATTGAACCTGTGAGTTCGATGATAAAGAGTTGGGTTACTAAAGTTCCTTTTCTTATAGTTTAAGTCTGAACTCATAACTTCACTGATCAGGAATGTTTTATAAATAATAATTTGATCAGAACATACACAGTCACTGCCATAATAGCGGGCTACATCTACAGTACATAGACAGAGGAAGATGGCCTACCGTTGAGCAGCACAATGAGGATAACCAGTAAGAGAGGCTTTGAGTAGTAGAACATGATACACGAGGACTGGAGCAGAAGAATGGCGCTTCTATCCTTGGCTTCTATCCTTGGCCTAAATGATGTGTCTGCCCCGTCTGTCTCCACTCGTCTAAGGCCTGACCTGGTTCCACTTTCCCTCGAACATGAGCTCATAGTAAAGAGAGAAATGCTGACAGGAACTAGCTTGTGCCCACATTTATGTGCAACTTTAAGCACCTCCTGTGAACAAAGGCTTCAAAGGGGTTCTGGGACTTGTGGTGCAGACTTGTGAGTGTCTCAAGCGTGCCAATAAAAGTCAGAATAATGTTTCAGTTAAAGAGATATGCTACTTTTATTTTAGGGTGAACTATGTCAGACATTGTCATACTTCAAAACTGTTTTGGAACCAAAGCCAAGCTCGGTCCATGCCACAGCACCTGTGAGACACTCAAAGTGTAAGAAATGAAGAATGAAATTATTCCAAGACACTTCTGATGTATAAAAATGTATGGCAAGCTTTTATTTTTTGGGATGAAAAGTTTATATGGTTCACCAGCAACAAATGATGAGGGATTAATCATCGTAAAATCACTCCTCTGATCATGAAATGAAGACTCAAAACATATATTTTCATGAGTACCACCTGCATAAACAGTAAGCATGACATTAGATGAGGTATTCAGTTGCCAAAACAGCAGTTTGAAGCTAACTGGAGGCTGTGGGTGGGGCGGGGGGTTTCTATGAGGACATGTCAGAGAGAGACTTGCCGGTGGTCTACAGTAGTGGAGGAATCAAAACATTGGCTTTTGTGGTGGTGTCTGTGTTGTGGTGGTGTCTGTCTTGTTGGGAGGGTGTCTTCTTCAGCTGTTTATTGTGGTCCTGCTGACGTCATTCTTCTGAGTGAATCCTACCATCTTCGTGCCACTTTAAACTGAGACCACAATTGTTAACTGACTGACTTATCAGCAGTCTCTTTATCCTTTTGTACTGTAACAAATGCACTCTCTGGAAACATACCTACTTTGAAGGCCTATTTTTCACACTCCGGCTTGAAGTTCCCCCTCAGTGCAGATGGGATCTAGTCTGACTACCCATCCACATCAAACCGACCAAACACCACGCCCACTATCATTTCTTCTTCACGATGAATGCATGTAGCAATCGATAGAGCAGCATAATTAAATTCAGGATGAGTCGTCAGGCAAAATGGGATCAGCTTGCCCTCCCCCAATCCTTACCTCAATAATTTGGGAATAAATGCAAAACTGACCCAAGAAGATCATGTCGTCTAGGGGCAACTTCACCCTGCCTAAACATTTTCACCGTCACATGAGGGAACAGGCAAGCTTATCCATTTGCTAAAGGCCTTTCTCCCATTTCCGGAGCGGGACATCAGTTTTTGAAAAAATCTGGGAAATTCTACAGTATACCCGGTCTAAGGCATATGGTCTTTTCTCAATAGAAATGGCGCAAACCAAGAGCAAGTCCTGTTGTAGCGTACGTCTTTGTTCAAATTTGAGAAAGAAAACACGATTCTAAAGCCTCGCACTTTGAGGTCAACCAGGCTGGGCTGAGCTGGCCTTGGTCGAATTGTGTTTCCACTGCCTCCAGAATATATAAATGTCATGTTGTTAGCTAGCCAATGTGACTGTGCAGGTAGCTTTGCTAATGTTGCAAGCTAGATAGAAATTGTAGAAAGTCCTTTGGCTACAACTAGCTAGATAACTAGCTAGCTAGCAAGATGTGGAAGAAATTGTATTCACCCTCACCACGATGTAACTGATGTTACCCCATACTCCCGATGCCAGCTATTCAAATATTTACCTTGTTAGCTAGCTAAACGGTTAGCGTCGTCGATAGGATAATGTATCCTCCACCAAACTTTACAGTTGGCACTATGCATTTGGGCAGGTAGCATTCTCCTGGCATCCGCCAAATCCAGATTCGTCCATCGGACTGCCAGATGGTGAAGCGTGATTCATCACTCCAGAAAAAGGGTTTCCACTGCTCCACAGTCCAATGGCGGTGAGCTTTACACCACTCCAGCCAACGATTGGCATTGCGCATTGTGATCTTAGGCTTGTGTGTGGCTGCTCGGCCATGGAAACCCATTTCATGAAGCCCCCTGACGAACAGTTATTGTGCTGACATTGCTTCCAGAGGCAGTTTGGAACTCGTTAGTGAGTGTTGCAACCGAGGACAGATGATTTTTACACGCTACGTGCTTCAGCACTCGGTGGTCCCGTTCTGTGAGCTTGTGAGGTCTACCACTTCGTGGCTGAGCCACTGTTGCTCCTAGACGTTTCCACTTCAAAATAACAGCACTTACAGTTGACCGGGGCAGCTCTAGCAAGGCAGAAATGTGACGAACTGACTTGCTGGAAAGGTGGCATCCTATGATGGTGCCACATTAAAAGTCACTGAGTTCTTCAGTAAGACCATTCTACTGCCAATGTTTGTCAATGGAGATTGCATGGCTGTGTGCTCGATTTTATACACCTGTCAGTCCACTAATTTGAAGGGGTGTCCATAATACTTTTGTACAGTATATATAGTGTATCTCTAATCACACACAATTTTGTTCTGGGATTTAGATTGTGCTTTGGGATTCTGACCCTGTCGTCCTCACCCATCACCATTGCACACGTGTAGCAGCCACTGCTCTCTGCAGTCATGCAGTTGCACTGCTCTTCCAGACGGCTCACTTCTCCCAGCTCGGTGTGCCAGTTGTGCCTCCTGTTCACAGCTATACAGAGACAGAACAACGATGGCACAAACCTAAAAGAACTGTGTTTTAACAGTAAATTATAGGTGCAGTTAAAATGTCTAGATTTACCCACAGTAGCTAAAAAAAAATCACATTCCTTGAGAGAATCATGTACACCCTGGATCAGTGGCGACCCGTCGTTCAGGGCAGGTGAGGCAGAGCCCCACCTGTTTTGAGCCCCACCTGTTTAGCTAAAAAAATATATATATACATATACAGTGCCTTTGGAAAGTATTCAGACCCCTTCCCTTTTTCCACATTTTGTTACGTTACAGCCTTATTCTATAATTGATTAAATACATTTTTAAAAATCCTCATCAATCTACACACAATACCCCATAATGTTAAAGCGAAAACAGGTTGGAGTCCATCTGTGGTAAATTCAATTGATTGGACATGATTTGGAAAGGCACACATCTGTCTATATAAGGTCCCACAGTTGACAGAGCAATGCAGAGCAAAAACCAAGCCATGAGGTCGAAGGAATTGTCCGTTGAGCTCCGAGACAGGATTGTGTCAAGGTGCAGATCTGGGGAAGGGTACCAAAAAAATTCTGTAGCATTGATGGTCCCCAAGAGCACAATGGCCTCCATCATTCTTAACTGGAAGAAGTTTAGAACTACCAAGACTCTTCCTTGGGCTGGCCGCCCGGCCAAACTGAGCAATCGGGGTAGAAGGGCCTTGGTCAGGGAGGTGACCAAGAACCCAATGGTCACTCTGACAGAGCTCCAGAGTTCCTCTGTGGAGATGGGAGAACCTTCCAGAAGGACAACCATCTCTGCAGCACTCCACCAATCAAGCCTTTATGGTAGAGTGACCAGACGGAAGCCACTCCTCAGTAAAAGGCACATGAAAGCCCGCTCGGAGTTTGCCTAAAGGCACCTAAAGGACTCTCAGACCATGAGAAACAAGATTCTCTGGTCTGCTGAAACCAAGATTTAACTATATTTGGCCTGAATGCCAAGCGTCACGTTTGGAGGAAACCTGGCACCATCCCTACGGTGAAGCATGGTAGTGGCAGCATCATGCTGTGGGGATGTTTTTCAGCGGCAGGGACTGGGAGACTAGTCAGGATCGAGGGAAAGACGAACAGAGCAAAGTTCAGAGAGATCCTTGATGAAAACCTGCTCCTGAGCGCTCAGGACCTCAGACTGGGGCAAAGGTTCACCTTTCAACAGGAAAATTACCCTAAGCACACAGCCAAGACAACACAGGAGTGGCTTCGGGACATGTCTGAATGTCCTTGAGTGGCCCAGCCAGAGGCTGGACTGGTGATTTAATGGTGCCGGAGAAGATGGCTGCCGTTCTACAGCCCTCTAAACAATTGTACTATTATGTGAGTTTTTTTGTGTTATTTGTAATTTATTCTGTACATAATGTTTCTGCCACCATCTCTTATGACCAAAAAGAGCTTCTGGATATCAGGACAGCTGTCACACTCTGGCTCCGGGACTTTGTGTGTTGAGCCAGGGTATGTTCGTTTCGTGGTGTTTTGTTTGGTTGGGTGGTTCTATGTGTTGTATTTCTTGGTTTGGTTGAGTGACTCCCAATCAGAGGTAACGAGTGTCAGCTGTTGGCTCGTTGTCTCTGATTGGGAGCCATATTTATACTGTCTGTTTTCACCTGGTGTTTGTGGGTTTTTGTTCCTGTACAGTCATTGCCACTGTGGACTTCACTATCGTCTTTTGTTTTGTATTGACGTGCTTTACTAATTAAAGTCATCATGTTCACTCGCAACGCTGCGCCTTGGTCTCCTGTTTTAGACGATCGTGACAGAAAAACCCACCATCAAAGGACCAAGCAGCGTGTCCGGGAGCAAAGAGACTGGACATGGGAGGAGGCGCCTGGTAAGGAGATCGAGAGGCTGGCGATGGCCCAGGTGGGCAAATCGTGGTCCTGGGAGGACATGCTCGGGGGCAAGGGACCTTGGGGGAAGATCAAGGCCCTGGCGAGAGAGGAGCAACGGCGTCAGCAGGGTCATCGTTGGAAGGACGTGAGGCAACCCCAAAAAGTTTTTTGGGGGGGGCACATGGCTTGGGCGGCTGGGCAGCAGGAGGCTGCCACAGGGAGATGTGGAGAGAAGGCTACCGGATTACGGGAGCCATTGGCGAATAGAGGGAGGGAAGCAGTTGAGGCACGGCGTGAGAGACTGAGGTGTGTTACCAGTCCGGACCGGCCCGTTCCTGATCCCCGGTTAAGGCCAGTGGTGTGTGTTCCCAGTACGGACCGGCCTGTTCCTACTCCACGCATCAAGCCCACGGTGTGCGTCGCCAGTCCAGCCCGGCCGGTTCCTGTTCCACGTAGAAAGCCTACGGTGTGCGTGGCCAGCCCAGCCCAACCTGTTCCGACTCCACGCATCAAGCACACGGCATGGACGACGGAGGCAAAGATGGGGCGAATCCAGGAGGCCACCAGGCCAGGGGTACACCGCCCTGTACGTCCTGTGCGGATGCCTCACACAGAGTGTGTGAGGGTAGGCATTCAGCCAGGACGGGTGGTGGCCGCTGTTCACTCCAGGCCTCCTATCCGTCTCCACAGCCCGGTCCGGCATAGTCCTGCTCCCCGCACCAAGTCCACGGTGTGCGTCGCCAGTCCAGCCCGACCTGTTCCTGCGCCACGTACCAGACCCACGGTGTGCGTCGCCAGTCCAGCCCGGCCGGTTCCTGCTCCACGTACTAAGCCTACGGTGTACGTCGCCAGCCCGACCCGGCCTGTTCCTGCCACCCGCACCAAGTCTATGGTGCGCGTCGCCAGCCCGGTCCGGCCTGTTCCTGCCACCCGCACCAAGTCTACGGTGCGCGTCGCCAGCCCGGTCCGGCCTGTTCCTGCCACCCGCACCAAGTCTACGGTGCGCGTCGCCCGGCCAGAGTCTGCCGTCTGCCCAACGGCGCCTGAACTGCCCGTCTGCCCAACGGCGCCGGAACTGCCCGTCTGCCCAACGGCGCTTGAACTGCCCGTCTGCCCAACGGCGCCTGAACTGCCTGTCTGCCCAACGCCGTCTGAACTGTCCGTCTGCCAAGCGCTGCATAAGCCGCCCGTCTGCCATGAGCCTTCAGAGCCGTCCGCCAGACCGGAGCCGCTAGAGCCTTCCGCCAGACAGGATCAGCCAGAGCCTTCCGCCAGACAGGATCAGCCAGAGCCTTCCGCCAGACAGGATCAGCCAGAGCCTTCCGCCAGACAGGATCAGCCAGAGCCTTCCGCCAGACAGGATCAGCCAGAGCCTTCCGCCAGCCAGGATCCGCTAGAGCCAGCCAGCCAGGATCCGCCATTCAGTCCGGTGCTGCCCCTTAGTCCGGTGCTGCCCCTTAGTCTGGTGCTGCCCCTTATCCTGGTGCTGCCCCTTAGTCCGGTGCTGCCCCTTAGTCCGGTGCTGCCTCTTAGTCCGGTGCTGCCCCTTAGTCCGGTGCTGCCTCTTAGTCCGGTGCTGCCCCGTAATCCGGTGGGGGTCAGTTGGAGGAGGCTACGAAAGCGGGTAGTGACTATGGTGGGGTGGGGACCACGACCAGAGCCAGAACCACCGCCGAAGAGGTATGCCCACCCAGCCCTCCCTTGGTTAGCCCTAGTTGAGGCGCGGTCGCAGTCCGCGCCTTTAGGGGGGGGGTACTGTCACACTCTGGCTCCGGGACTTTGTGTGTTGAGCCAGGGTATGTTCGTTTCGTGGTGTTTTGTTTGGTTGGGTGGTTCTATGTGTTGTATTTCTTGGTTTGGTTGAGTGACTCCCAATCAGAGGTAACGAGTGTCAGCTGTTGGCTCGTTGTCTCTGATTGGGAGCCATATTTATACTGTCTGTTTTCACCTGGTGTTTGTGGGTTTTTGTTCCTGTACAGTCATTGCCACTGTGGACTTCACTATCGTCTTTTGTTTTGTATTGACGTGCTTTACTAATTAAAGTCATCATGTTCACTCGCAACGCTGCGCCTTGGTCTCCTGTTTTAGACGATCGTGACAACAGCGATTACTCACCTCGTATTGGACGAAGATTATTTCTTCAACGACTCGGATGCAAAGGATATTCTACAGACACCCGACAAGGCCCAAATTCCTGTCATTCGCATGAGAAAGAGATGGAGAAATCGTGGACGTAGGTCGGGGTGCCTTGTAAGGATCCGACGGTGAGTGAGTAAACTGCCTCTTCCTTCAATCCTATTAGCCAATGTTCAATCATTTGAAATTAATTGGACGACATAAGATTAAGGTTACCCTACCAACGGGACATTAAAAACTGTAATATCTTATGTTTCACCGAGTCGTGGCTGAACGACGACATGGATAACATACAGCTGGCGGGATATACGCTACATCGGCAGAACAGAACGTCTGACTCCGGTAAGACAAGGGGTGGCGGTCTGTGTATATTTGTAAACAACAGCTGGTGCATAAAATCTAATACTAAGGAAGTCTTGAGGTTTTGCTCGCCTGAGGTAGAGTATCTCATGATAAGCTGTAGACCACACTATTTACCAAGAGAGTTTTCATCTATATTTTTCGTAGCTGTCTATTTACCACCACAAACCAATGCTGGCACTAAGATTGCACTCAATGAGCTGTATAAGGCCATAAGTAAACAGGAAAACGCTCATCCAGAGGCAGCGCTCCTAGTGGTGGGGACTTTAATGCAGGGAAACTTAAATCCGTTCTACCTCATTTCTACCAGCATGTTAAATGTGCAACCAGAGAAAAAAAACTCTAGACCGCCTTTACTCCACACACAGAGACGCGTACAAAGCTCTCCCTCGCCCTCCATTTGGCAAATCTGACCATAACTGTATCCTCCTGATTCCTGCTTATAAGCAAAAACTAAAGCAGGAAGCACCAGTGACTCGGTTAATAAGGAAGTGGTCAGATGACGCAGATGCTAAGCTACAGGACTGTTTTGCTAGCACAGACTGGAATATGTTCCGGGATTCTTCCGATGGCATTGAGGAGTACACCACATCAGTCACTGGCTTATCCGCACTGAGCTAAAGGGTAGAGCTGCTGCTTTCAAGGAGCGGGATTCTAACCCGGACGCTTATAAGTAATCCCGCTATGCCCTCCGACGAACCATCAAACAGACAAAGAGTCAATACAGGACTAAGACTGAATCGTACTACACCGGCTCTGACGCTCGTCGGATGTGGCAAGGCTTGAAAACTATTACAGACTACAAAGGGAAGAACAACCGCGAGCTGCCCAGTGACACAAGCCTACCAGACAAGCTAAATCACTTCTATGCTCGCTTCGAGGCAAGCAACACTGAAGCATGCATGAGAGCATCAGCTGTTCCGGATGACTATGTGATCACGCTCTCCATAGCCGATGTGAGCAAGACTTTTAAGCAGGTGAAAATTCACAAGACTGCAGGGGCAGACGGATTACCAGGACGTGTACTCCGAGCATGCGCTGACCAACTGGCAAGTGTCTTCACTGACATTTTCAACCTGTCATAGACTGAGTCTGTAATACCGACATGTTTCAAGCAGATCACCATAGTCCCTGTGCACAAGAACACTAAGGTAACCTGCCTAAATGACTACCGACCTGTAGCACTCACATCTTTAGCAATGAAGTGCTTTGAAAGGCTGGTCATGGCTCACATCAACACCATTATCCCAGAAACCCTAGACCCGTTCCAATTTGCATACCGCCCCAACAGATCCACAGATGATGCAATCTCTATTGCACGCCACACTGCCCTTTCCCACCTGGACAAAAGGAACACCTATGTGTGTGTGTAGGTAACAACACTTCTGCCACGCTCTGCTTCCACACGGCAAGTGTGTACGGCCCAATACATCACTGGGGCCAAGCTTCCTGCCATCCAGGATCTATATACTAGGCGGTGTCAGAGGAAGGCCCAAAAAATGGTCAAAGACTACAGTCACCCAAGTCATAGACTGTTCTCTCTGCTATCGCACGGCAAGCAGTACCAGAGCTCCAAATCTAGGTCCAAAAGGCTTCTTAACAGCATCTAAGCTATAAGACTGCTAAACATTTAATCAAATGGCCACCCAGACTATTTACATTGACCCCCCGCTACTTGCTGTTTATTATATATGCATAGTCACTTTACCCCTACCAACATTTACAAATTACCTCCACTAACCTGTACCCCCGCACATTGACTCGGTATCGGTACCCCCTGTATATAGCCGCGTTTTTGTTATGTCATTTTATTGTATTACTTTTTATTTTATTTTTTACTTTAGTTTATTTAGTAAATATTTTCTTAACTCTATTTCTTGAACTGCATTGTTGGTTAAGGGCTTGTAAGTAAGCATTTCATGGAAAGGTCTACACCTGTTGTATTCGGCGCACGTGACAAATATAATTTGATTTGATATAACGTCATTTTATCTGTGTCCAATGACCTTGAGCCTTCTTGGATGGGTACTTCTAATCTAACTATATGGCAGCACCTAAGGGGCTTTAATTTTTCGAGCTCTACCCGTAGATTTTTAAGGCGATGTAGTTTCCCCATGAGTGACAGAACCCTGAGCCAATCACAGCGCAACTAGTGAACATTACCACTACGCTCCATATTTTCCGCTGGCTGCCCCACCACCACAGGCTGAAACACCTGCATTTTGGAGCTGCCTTACTCAAGAAAGCAAAAAAGAGACCATGTTTGTACAGTGAGGGAAAAAAGTATTTGATCCCCTGCTGATTTTGTACGTTTGCCCACTGACAAAGAAATGATCAGTCTATAATTTTAATGGTAGGTTTATTTGAACAGTGAGAGACAGAATGACAACAAAAAAATCCAGAAAAACGCATGTCAAAAATGTTATAAATTGATTTGCATTTTAATGAGGGAAATAAGTATTTGACCCCCTCTCAATCAGAAAGATTTCTGGCTCCCAGGTGTCTTTTATACAGGTATCGAGCTGAGATTAGAAGCACACTCTTAAAGGGCTTAAAGGACTCCTAATCTCAGCTTGTTACCTGTATAAAAGACACCTGTCCACAGAAGCAATCAATCAATCAGATTCCAAACTCTCCACCATAGAGAGTCAGGGACAAGATTGTAGACCTACACAAGGCTGGAATGGGTTACAAGACCATCACCAAGCAGCTTGTTGAAAAGGTGACAACAGTTGGTGCGATTATTCGCAAATGGAAGAAACACAAAATAACTGTCAATCTCCCTCGGCCTGGGGCTCCATGCAAGATCTCACCTCGTGGAGTTACAATGATCATGAGAATGGTGAGGAATCAGCCCAGAACTACACGGGAGGATCTTGTCAATGATCTCAAGGCAGCTGGGACCATAGTCACCAAGAAAACAATTGGTAACACACTACGCCGTGAAGGACTGAAATCCTGCAGTGCCCGCAAGTTCCCCCTGCTCAAGAAAGCACATATACAGGCCCGTCTGAAGTTTGCCAATGAACATCTGAATGATTCAGAGGAGAACTGGGTGAAAGTGTTGTGGTCAGATGAGACCAAAATCAAGCTCTTTGGCATCAACTCAACTCGACGTGTTTGGAGGAGGAATGCTGCCTATGACCCCAAGAACACCATCCCCACCGTCAAACATGGAGGTGGAAACATTATGCTTTGGGGGTGTTTTTCTGCTAAGGGGACAGGACAACTTTACCGCATCAAAGGGACGATGGACGGCGCCATGTACCGTCAAATCTTGGGTGAGAACCTCCTTCCCTCAGCCAGGGCATTGAAAATCGGTCGTGGATGGGTATTCCAGCATGGCAATGACCCAAAACACACGGCCAAGGCAACAAAGGAGTGGCTCAAGAAGAAGCACATTAGGGTCCTGGAGTGGCCTAGCCAGTCTCCAGACCTTAATCCCATAGAAAATCTGTGGAGGGAGCTGAAGGTTCGAGTTGCCAAACGTCAGGCTTGAAACATTAATGACTTGGAGAAGATCTGCAAAGAGGAGTGGGACAAAATCCCTCCTGAGATGTTTGCAAACCTAGTGGCCAACTACAAGAAATGTCTGACCTGTGATTGCCAACAAGGGTTTTGCCACCAAGTACTAAGTCATGTTTTGCAGAGGGGTCAAATACTTATTTCCCTCATTAAAATGCAAATCAATTTATAACATTTTTGACATGTGTTTTTCTGGATTTTTTTGTTGTTATTCTGTCTCTCACTGTTCAAATAAACCTACCATTAAAATTATAGACTGATCATTTCTTTGTCAGTGGGCAAACATACAAAATCAGCAGGGGATCAAATACTTTTTTCCCTCACTGTATGTGGCTTTATTAACTACATTATTTTTTTTTTTTACATTGTTTGCAAACTGATACAGTCTAAGTCGGAGGTTTACATACGCCTTAGCCAAATATATTTAAACTCTGTTTTTCACAATTCCTGACATTTCATCCTAGTAAAAATTCCCTGTCTGTCACGGTTTCGGCCGAGGCTGCCTCTCTTCCTTGCTCGGGCTGGCTTCGGCGGTCGTCGTCTCCGGAGTACTAGCTGCCACTGTTGTATGTTTCGATGTTCGTTTGGTTTTGTCTTGATGTTGTACACCTGTTATCGTTTAGCGTTCATTATTGTCCTATAAGTTCTCGTTGTGTTTGTTATGTGTTGTGTGTGATTGAACTTGCTGTCGTGTATGTCTGTGCTTCGTTCGCTCCTCTGTGTTGGAGAGGTTCTCGCACATGTTTGTGCGTTATTGTTATTTTGTTTGATTTTACGCCTGTGTGCGTAATCGCTCGTATCCAAGCTCTTTTGACTCGTTTTGAGTTTTGGTTCACTAAAGTCTATTGGACTAAGTTCCTGCGTCCTGCGCTTGATTCCTGCACCACACCTTCACAGCACACCTTCTGACACTGTCTTAGGTCAGTTAGGATCACCACTTTATTTTAAGAATGTGAAATGTCAGAATAATAGTAGAGAGAATGATTTATTTCAGCTTTTATTTCTTTCATCACATTCCCAGTGGGTCAGAAGTTTACATACACTCAATTAGTATTTGGTAGCATTGCCTTTAAATTGTTTAACTTGGGTCAAACGTTTCGGGTAGCCTTCCACAAGCTTCCCACAATAAGTTGGGTGAATTTTGGCCCATTCCTCCTGACAGAACTGGTGTAACTGAGTCAGGTTTGTAGGCCTCCTTGCTCGCACACGCTTCTTCAGTTCTGCCCACAAATTTTCTATAGGATTGAGGTCAGGGCTTTGTGATGGCCACTCCAATACCTTGAAGTTGTTGTCCTTAAGCCATTTTGCCACAACTTTTGAAGTATGCTTGGGGTCATTGTCCATTTGGAAGACCCATTTGCGACCAAGCTTTAACTTCCTGACTGATGTCTTGAGATGTTGCTTCAATATATCCACATAATTTTCCTTCCTCATGATGCCATCTATTTTGTGAAGTGCACCATTCCCTCCTGCTGCAAAGCACCCCCACAGCATGATGCTGCCACCCCCTGTGCTTCACGGTTGGGATGGTGTTCTTTGGCTTGCAAGGGACCCCCTTTTTCCTCCAAACATACCGATGTTCATTATGGCCAAACAGTTCTATTTGTGTTTCATCCGACCAGAAGACATTTCTCCAAAAAGTATGATCTTTGTCCCCATGTGCAGTTGCAAACCGTAGTCTGTATTTTTTTATGGCGGTTTTGGAGCAGTGGCTTCTTCCTTGCTGAGCGGCCTTTCAGGTAATGTCGATATAGGACTCGTTTTACTGTGGATATAGATACTTTTGTACCTGTTTCCTCCAGCATCTTCACAAGGTCCTTTGCTGTTGTTCTGGGATTGATTTGCACTTTTCGCACCAAAGTACGTTGATCTCTAGGATACAGAACGCGTCTCCTTCCTGTGCGGTATGATGGCTGCGTGGTCCCATGGTGTTTATACTTGCGTACTATTGTTTGTACAGATGAACATGGTAACTTCAGGCGTTTGGAAATTGCTCACAAGGATGAACAAGACTTGTGGAGGTCTACAATTCTTTTTCTGAGGTCTTGGCTGATTTCCTTAGATTTTCCCATGATGTCAAGCAAAGAGGCACTGAGTTTGAAGGTAGGCCTTGAAATACATCCACAGGTACACCTCCAATTGACTCAAATGATGTCAATTAGCCTATCAGAAGCTTCTAAAGCCATGATATAATTTTCTGGAACTTTCCAAGCTGTATAAAGGCACAGTCAACTTAGTGTATGTAAACTTCTGACCCACTGGAATTGTGATACAGTGAATTATAAGTGAAATAATCTGTCTGTAAACAATTGTTGGAAAAATTACTTGTGTCATGCACAAAGTAAATGTCCTAACCGACTTGCCAAACCTACAGTTTGTTAACAATACATTTGTGGAGTGGTTGAAAAACGAGTTTTAATGAACTCCATCCTAATTGGATGTAAACTTCCGACTTCAACTGTACAGTGGGGAAAAAAAGTATTTAGTCAGCCACCAATTGTGCAAGTTCTCCCACTTAAAAAGATGAGAGAGGCATGTAATTTTCATCATAGGTACACGTCAACTATGACAGACAAATTGAGGAAAAAAAATCCAGAAAATCACATTGTAGGATTTTTTATGAATTGATTTGCAAATTATGGTGGAAAATAAGTATTTGGTCACCTACAAACAAGCAAGATTTCAGGCTCTCACAGACCTGTAACTTCTTCTTTAAGAGGCTCCTCTGTCCTCCACTCGTTACCTGTATTAATGGCACCTGTTAAACTTGTTATCAGTATAAAAGACACCTGTCCACAACCTCAAACAGTCACACTCCAAACTCCACTATGGCCAAGACCAAAGAGCTGTCAAAGGACACCAGAAACAAAATTGTAGACCTGCACCAGGCTGGGAAGACTGAATCTGCAATAGGTAAGCAGCTTGGTTTGAAGAAATCAACTGTGGGAGCAATTATTAGGAAATGGAAGACATACAAGACCACTGATAATCTCCCTCGATCTGGGGCTCCACGCAAGATCTCACCCCGTGGGGTCAAAATGATCACAAGAACAGTGAGCAAAAATCCCAGAACCACACGGGGGGACCTAGTGAATGACCTGCAGAGAGCTGGGACCAAAGTAACAAAGCCTACCATCAGTAGCACACTACGCCGCCAGGGACTCAAATCCTGCAGTGCCAGACGTGTCCCCCTGCTTAAGCCAGTACATGTCCAGGCCCGTCTGAAGTTTGCTAGAGTGCATTTGGATGATCCAGAAGAGGATTGGGAGAATGTCAGATGAAACCAAAATATAACTTTTTGGTAAAAACTCAACTCGTCGTGTTTGGAGGACAAAGAATGCTGAGTTGCATCCAAAGAACACCATACCTACTGTGAAGCTTGGGGGTGGAAACATCATGCTTTGGGGCTGTTTTTCTGCAAAGGGACCAGGACGACTGATCCGTGTAAAGGAAAGAATGAATGGAGCCATGTATCGTGAGATTTTGAGTGAAAACCTCCTTCCATCAGCAAGGGCATTGAAGATGAAACGTGGCTGGGTCTTTCAGCATGACAATGATCCCAAACACACCGCCCGGGCAACGAAGGAGTGGCTTCGTAAGAAGCATTTCAAGGTCCTGGAGTCGCCTAGCCAGTCTCCAGATCTCAACCCCATAGAAAATCTTTGGAGGGAGTTGAAAGTCCGTGTTGCCCAGCGACAGCCCCAAAACATCACTGCTCTAGAGGAGATCTGCATGGAGGAATGGGCCAAAATACCAGCAACAGTGTGTGAAAACCTTGTGAAGACTTACAGAAAACGTTTGACCTGTGTCATTGCCAACAAAGGGTATATAACAAAGTATTGAGAAACTTTTGTTATTGACCAAATACTTATTTTCCACCATAATTTGCAAATACATTCATAAAATATCCTACAATGTGATTTTCTGGATTTTTTCTCCTCATTTTATCTGTCATAGTTGACGTGTACCTATGATGAAAATTACAGGCCTCTCTCATCTTTTTAAGTGGGAGAACTTGCACAATTGGTGGCTGACTAAATACTTTTTTTCCCCACTGTATGTGACACCAATTAATGCCAAAATAACATGCAAAACAGGCAACAACAGAAAAGCCCCACCTGCCCTAAATGACGGTTCGCCACTGCAAAGGACTGCTTGGACTGTTGCAGGATCTCTCTGTGCTGAATTGAAGAGACCTGCAGGGATTTCCACACGCTGGACAAACCACTGGTGACCACCATGGGCATGATTGTTGACAGGCCTCTAGTGGACTCTGGTTGGTGCAGAAGGGGTGTGTCCTAGCTTACCAGCAGACAAATCTTACTACTAAGTACATCAAACTCCACCAACATGCACCACCATATACCTCTAGTCGACTACCAGCTTGGCCCAACGCAGTGTGTTTTTTCCCATGGAGCGCCCAAAAGTTTTTTTTTTACAACTATAAGAAAAAATGCATAAAATTCCATGTCAATTTTTATAATGCAGAATAATGGTCCTATTACATATGACCACTCGGGCTGGGCAATTAATTTATATATACCACAACCCTTTACAGACTAACAGTAGAACACAGCTATAGTAACATGTCAATAGCTATAATTTTTCAGACAATTACAATGTTCTGTATTTCCCCCCTGACAACAATACATTTCGCAGATTGATGTGCTGCTGTGTTGTTTTTTTATGGTATGGTAGCTAGATGTTTTTTTTTTTTTTTCTACTAAATGTCTTGGTAAGTCACGGTATTTAACAAACTTGAAAGTACTTTTTTTAGGAGAGAGTGGTCTGCAAACATGCAAGCAGGCTGCGTGCAGCGGCTCAATATTATTTGATTGACAGTTCTAGTTGCCTAATGATGGATTTTAGTCCCTCTTCAAAGAAGTGTGTAAAATGTATCTTTATATCACCAGGCGCTTTCAACGGGCCACATTCCAACTCCATTACGTCTGAAAAATGTAATCGATACAGGCTACCAGTAGCTACTGTAATTTCATATAAGGGCAAAAACGAAGAGTAGGCTACCCCGTGCTCGCAAGACTGGCCTGAAGACATCCGTACCATGAATAGGGTAGGATATTATAAACGCAACAGACCGAAGACAACACACACTTGCATTGTTTGCGAGGGAGAGAGAGGCAGAAGCTTGCTAATGTGTTTTGGTAATCTGCATCTTGCAAAGACTTCTCGTGCATGCCTTGCAAATTCAGTAGCCTAAAGTTCGCCTCTTCCTCTCTGGTTTTATTTGAATTACACAACTTCCCCAGGCCTTTATAACTCGGAAAATAATATGTTTTGTCATAACTGAAATGTGATTTTAATTAAGTGAAAAAACAACAACAAAAAACAGTTTTTTGGTTAGGATTTTTCTTAACATTAAGGATCCCAATTTAGTTTAAACATTTTAAGGTTAGTTGAAATAAAGTGACCCAACCTAAAAGTTGTTGATTGCAAATATCTGCAAATGTAACACGGCACTGTTACCCTACGGAGAAGCCATGCGTACTACTGGCAAGTGCAGGGCCAACTGCTCATTACTGGGCTACAGTGGTGTGACTGTTGTCTGTGCCCAGAGAGATGTGCAGCGACTGCACCTTGACCCAGAGGTTACGGGGAGATCAGAGAGAAGGCAGATTCCTGTTACTTCAACGTGTACAGATGAACCTGTACTTGTCTGCACTACATTTGTTTCAGCCCAACTGCAGCCCCACAATGTGTGAAGCCCTTACATTGAATTGAACTAATTTCTTGTTGATGATTGATTTGATTACAAGGTGATTCTAGTCTAGATTTAAGAGCCAAATAGCCAAAATGATATTTGTATGTATTATATTTAAGAATTATGAAATGAGATTGTATAACAGTCATGGGGTGCAGTCAGAGACCTAATGGGAATGTCTGGCCAGAGTCCATACAGTCAGAGACCTAATGGGAATGTCTGGCCAGAGTCCATACAGTCAGAGACCATACAGTCAGAGACCTAATGGGAATGTCTGGCCAGAGACCATACAGTCAGAGACCTAATGGGAATGTCTGGCCAGAGACCATACAGTCAGAGACCTAATGGGAATGTCTGGCCAGAGTCCATACAGTCAGAGACCTAATGGGAATGTCTGGCCAGAGTCCATACAGTCAGAGACCTAATGGGAATGTCTGGCCAGAGTCCATACAGTCAGAGACCTAATGGGAATGTCTGGCCAGAGTCCATACAGTCAGAGACCTAATGGGAATGTCTGGCCAGAGTCCATACAGTCAGAGACCTAATGGGAATGTCTGGCCAGAGTCCATACAGTCAGATAACTAATGGGAATGTCTGGCCAGAGACCATACAGTCAGAGACCTAATGGGAATGTCTGGCCAGTCCATACAGTCTTTTGACTGTGCTGTCTGCACATCCGCTATTTTTTGATTCAAGAACACCTAAGTTATAGTTCAATGTGTTGTATATTTATATAAAAAAAAAAAAAAATTGTAGTATCTACGTCAAATCAAATCAAATCAAATTGTATTTGTCACATGCGCTGAATACAACAGGTGTAGTAGACCTTACAGTGAAATGCTTACTTACAAGCCCTTAACCAACAATGCAGTTTTAAGAAAAAATAAGTGTTAAGAAAGTATTTACTAAATAAGCTGAAGTAAACAATAAATTAATAAAAATGAAAAAAAGAAGAAAGTAGAAAAATAACAAATTATTAAAGAGCAACAATAAAATAACAGTAACGAGGCTATATACAGGGGGTACCGGTACAGAGTCAATGTGTGTGGGGCACAGGTTAGTCAAGATAAATTTAGGTAATATGTACATGTAGGTAGAGGTAAAATGACTTTGCATAGATAATAAACAGAGAGTAGCAGCAGCATAAAAATGGGGGGGGGGGGGGGGGGTCAATGTAAAGTAGCAGGAGGGTCAATGTAAATAGTCTGGGTGGCCATTTGATTAAATGTTTAGCAGCCTTATAGCTTGGGTGTAGAAGCTGTCAAGAAGCCTTTTGGACCTAGACTTGGCGCTCCGGTACTGCTTGCTGTGCGGTAGCAGAGAGAACAGTCTATGACTAGGGTGGCTGGAGTCTTCGACAATTTTTAGGGCCTTCCTTTGACACCGCCTGGTATAGAGGTCCTGGACGGCAGGAAGCTTGGCCCCAGTGATGTAGTGCCTTGCGGTCGGAAGCCGAGCAGTTGCCATACCAGGCGGTGATGCAACCAGTCAGGATGCTCTCGATGGTGCAACTGTCAAACTTTTTGAGGATCTGAGGACCCATGCCAAATCTTTTCAGTCTCCTGTGGGGGAAAAGGTGTTGTCGTGCCTTCTTCACGATTGTCTTGGTGTGTTTGGACCATGACAGTTCGTTGGTGATGTGGACACCAAGGAACTTGAAGCTCTCAACCTGCTCCACTACAGCCCCGTCGATGAGAATGGGGGCGTGCTCGGCCCTCCTTTTCCTGTAGTCCACGATCATCTCCTTTGTCTTGATCACGTTGAGGGAGAGGTTGTTATTCTGGCACCACACTGCCAGGTCTCTGACATCCTCCCTATAGGCTGTCTCATCGTTGTCGTTCACTGTTGTGTCGTAGGCAAACTTAATGATGGTGTTGGAGTCATGCTTGGCCACGCAGTCATGGGTGAACAGGGAGTACAGGAGGGGACTGAGCACGCACCCCCGAGGGGCCCCCGTGTTGAGGATCAGCGTGGCAGATGTGTTGTTACCTACTCTTACCACCTGGTGGCGGCCTGTCAGGAAGTCCAGGATCCAGTTGCAGAGGGAGGTGTTTAGTCCCATGGTCCTTAGCTTAGTGATGAGCTTTGAGGGCACTATGGTGTTGAACGCTGAGCTGTAGTCAATTAATAGAATTCTCACATAGGTGTTCCTATTGTCCAGCTGGGAAAGGGCAGTGTGGAGTGCAACAGAGATTGCATCATTTGTGGATCTGTTGGGGCAGTATGCAAATTGGAGTGGGTCTAGGGTTTCTGGGATAATGGTGTTGATGTGAGCCATGACCAGCCTTTCAAAGCACTTCATGGCTACAGACTTGAGTGCTAAGGGTCGGTAGTCATTTAGGCAGGTTACCTTGGTGTTCTTGGTCACAGGGACTATGGTGATCTGCTTGAAACATGTTGGTATTACAAACTTGGTCAGGGACAGGTTGAAAATGTCAGTGAAGCCACTTGCCAGTTGGTCAGCGCATGCTCGGAGTACACGCCCTGGTAATTCGTCTGGCCCTGCGGCCTTGTGAATGTTGACCTGTTTAAAGGTCTTACTCACATCGGCTACGGAGAGCGTGATCACACAGTTGTCCGGAACAGCTGGTGCTCTCATGCATGCTTCAGTGTTGCTTCTCTCGAAGCGAGCATAGATGTTATTTAGCTCTTCTCGTAGGGTCGTGTCACTGGGCAGCTCGCGGCTGTGCTTCCCTTTGTAGTCCGTAATAGTTTGCAAGCCCTGCCACATCCGACGAGTATCGGAGATGGTGTAGTAGGATTCAATCTTAGTCCTGTATTGATGCTTTGCCTGTTTGATGGTTCGTCGGAGGGCGTAGCAGGATTTCTTATAAGCGTCCGGGTTAGAATCCCGCTCCTTGAAAGCTCCTAACTCAGTGTGGCTGTTGCCTGTAATCCATGGATTCTGGTTGGGGTATATACGTACGGTCACTGTGGGGACGACATCATCGATGCACTTATTGATGAAGCCAGTGACTGATGTGGTGTGCTCGTCAATGCCATCGGAGGAATCCCAGAACATATTCCAGTCTGTGCTAGCAAAACAGTCATGTAGCTTAGCATCTGCGTCATCTGATCACTTGACCTCCCGAGTGGTGCAGTGGTCTAAGGCTGTGCCACTAGAGATCCTGGTTTGAATCCAGGCTCTGTCGTAGCCGGCCGCAACCGGGAGACCCCATGGGGCGGCGCACAATAGGCCCAGCGTCGTTCAGGGAAGGGGAGGGAATGGCCGGCAGGGATGTAGAGCATGGCGTTTGTAACTCCAGGGTTGCGGGTTCGATTCCCACGAGGGGCCAGTATAAAAAAAATAATGTATGCACTCACTAACTGTAAGTCGCTCTGGATGAGAGCGTCTGCTAAATGACTAAAATGTAAATCACTTCTGTACTGAGCGAGTCACTGGTACTTCCTGCTTTAGTTTTTGCTTGTAAGCAGGAATCAGGAGGATATAATTATGGTCAGATTTGCCAAATGGAGGGCGAGGGAGAGCTTTATACGCCTCTCTGTGTGTGGAGTAAAGGTGGTCTAGAGTTTTTTTCCCTCTGTTTACACATGTAACATGCTGGTGGAAATTAGGTGAAATGTATTTAAGTTTCCCTGCATTAAAGTCGCCGGCCACTAGGAGCGCCGCCTCTGGGTGAGCATTTTCTTGTTTGCTTATGGCCCTATACAGCTCGTTGAATGCGGTCTTAGTGCCAGCATCGGTTTGTGGTGGTAAATAGACAGCCATGAAAAATATAGATGAATACTCTCTTGGTAAATAGTGTGGTCTACAGCTTATCATGAGATACTCTACCTCAAGGCGAGCAAAACCTTGAGACTTCATTAATATCAGATTTCATGCACCAGCTGTTATTGACAAATAGACACAGACCGCCACCCCTTCGTCTTACCAGAGGCAACTGTTCTATCTTGCCTATGCACGGAAAACCCCGCCAGCTCTATGTTATTCACGTCGTCGTTCAGCCACGACTCGGTGAAACATAAGATATTACAGTTGTTAATGTCCCGTTGGTAGGATAGTCTTGATCGGAGCTCATCCAGTTTATTATCCAATGATTGTACGTTGGCTAATAGGACGGATGGTAGAGGTGGGTTACCCACTCGCAATCGGATTCTTACAAGGCAACCCGACCTACGACACCTATATCTTCTTCTCTTTTTAATGCGAATGATGGGGATTTGGGCCTTGTCCGGTGTCTGAAGTAAATCCTTCGCATCTGACTCGTTAAAGAAAAAATATTCCTCCAGTACGAGGTGAGTAATTGCTGTTCTGATATCCAGAAGTTTTTTTTTCGGTCATAAGAGACGGTGGCAGAAACATTACGTACAAAAGAAGTTACAAATAACACGAAAAAACACACACAATAGCACAATTGGTTAGTAGCCCGTAAAACGGCAGCCATCTTCTCCGGCGCCATTTTACGTGTGTGTGTTTGGAATAGAAATGTCACTTCAAATTGTAGAGAACACAAAATGTACAAATACTGAAATACTCTTCCCACCGTTTGTGAGAATAGCAATTTTCAGGATGTCACCTGGTAAACAGCATTGTAGCTCTGCCTCTGCAGATGCGGAAGGGCGACATTGGCGGATGTGGTGGATTGAGACGCATCCCATGCAACCCCAAAAAAACAGACTTATTTTTTTATTATGTTCATTAGATTGCCGGGTGCGTCAATACACTCTTTGTCTTAAACTATATGTGTAACTGGGCTAGGATGCTCTTAAAGGGATACTTTGGGATTTTGGCATTGAGGCCCTTTATCTACTTTCCCAGAGACAGATGAAGTCGTGGAAACCATTTTTATGTCTCAGTAACCACGTTTCCATTCACAGCTTTTATGCGAGTAAAGTATATAAAAATATCACGACAGCTGTGATGGAAACAGGAAGTTTTGGTACAATTTTATAAATGTCGATAGATCATTTGTTGGTTTGAAATTGTGGGATATTTTTGTGTCTGTAAAATGTATTATGCGAGAAATGGCGTTGGAAACGCCTTTTTACGCAAATATTGGTATAATAACCATCATATCGATGTAAACTTCGAAGTAAAGTCACGTGATGACATGGTGTGTGCTCCTCCCAATACGACTCGGGAAACAATGCAGTTTATTAGGCTACAGATTAAATAAATTAAAGATGAACTTCACAGGGTGTTGAAAGTGCATGGTATGAGCTTGATGCTCTTATCCAATAAAATGTTGAGGGTCTTAATTTGGTGACATGATGATCGATGCTTGACTGACGTTTGACAAATTCACCCTCCGAATCACCCGCTCCACATGGATCCTCAGGCGTCTGATGAACTTCTGCTGTTGGCATTTGGCTCTGTTTGGGGGACAGTAGACCTTCCCTGGTACAAAGTTATTGATTAGGAACCCCATGTCGGCCATTACTGCCATGTCCTCGGTGAGGTGTTGGATGCCTGACTGTTTGAAAATGTCTTTGTCGCTGATGGAGCCTGCATACAGTGATGACACAAAGGCAATCAATCCACGAGGAGCTATTCCTACTAATGCCTTCATTGTGCAGTGGGATTTGTAAATGGAGGACATCTCACTCTGCAGCAGACGAGACGACGATGTCTGACACCTAACAATGACCTGCTTGTCTGGGTAGCTTTTAAATTCCTCTGACACGTTGGCCTTACATTTACATTTACATTTAAGTCATTTAGCAGACGCTCTTATCCAGAGCGACTTACAGTTAGTGAGTGCATACATTATTCTTTTTATTTTTCATACTGGCCCCCCGTGGGAATCGTACCCACAACCCTGGCGTTGCAAACGCCATGCTCTACCAACTGAGCTACATCCCTGCCGGCCATTCCCTCCCCTACCCTGTACGACGCTGGGCCAATTGTGCGGCGCCCCGTGGGTCTCCCGGTCGCGGTCGGCTACGATGTTCTCTGCTCCGAGCAGTGTGTATATGAAGTTGGCCCATGTGATGATGATCCTACAGACTGAAGCGGGATGGATGTGAAAGTGTAGGCCCAGGTCTCTGTCCTTCAACCCCAGAGCGAGATGTGTGAGGAAGAGGATACACAGCCATTTCGTAGCGGTTGACTGTGGATGCATCATGTGTGTGTATTTAATTTAACACTGTATTGTGTATTTAATTTAGCATACATCACATTCTCATGAAAAATATTATTGATAGTAACACAATGTTTGAACTAATTTACAACATTAAAACGATTCAAATCTTACCGAGTACTTGGATGGAAGAGTGACATCATCATTCCTCAGAGTGGCTCTTGCTGGTCGAAGAACGTGCAAAAGCTTGGCAGTTGCTGGCTCAATCAGTCTCCAAAAAGCCACAAGATGGTCATAACCCCCGAAAGAGTAGCTGCTGCCTTGCGGGCAGCTAATGTGGATCCCTAATAAATACAAAATACAAATAACTGGAAAATCTGTTGGAAGAATGAAACAAAAGAAGACGCAGCCTTCCTACTACTCGTCTTCAGGAAGGAAATGTCTGCCACAGACCTTAGAGAGGTTTTCCCGATGGTGAAGTTTCTCGCCGGATGTTGATCACCCACTTCTTTTGTAGCTCATCTTCAGCAGGGAAAGAGTTAGAAAGTTACAGAGGCATAAATATCATAAATACCAAATGCTTACCTCCCTTGTTATTGTAATGGTGAGAGGTTAGCATGTCTTGGGGGTATTTGTGCGTCTGTAACTTTCTCACTCATCATTATTCACGATTCATTCAGGGCTATCCGTAATCATGGTAGCATCTACATTAATGTAGAAGTGTTCAGAAACATATTCTAGTCTTATTTACAATAAAAGTGACTCCAAAATCACACCATACATTATTTACCATTAATTTCTATTGGGCACAAAATTATCTGAAACACAACCAAAACAAACAGAAAATGCATCCAACAAGCTTGATATAATCATTGCGTGATAGGAATATAGGACCAGATACTAAACTTTTGACTACTTTAAGACACATAAGTGAATTTGTCCCAATACCTTTCGTCCCCTAAAGTACTGTAATTTCTAAATGGTTCACCCGATATGGATGACAATACCCTCACATTAAAGCTGACAGTCTGCAATTTATCCTCATAGTCATTGTATCATTTCAAATCCAAAGTACTGGAGTATAGAGCTAAAACAACAAAAAATGTGTCACTGTCCCAATAATTTTTGGGTACACAACTTATACTACTATTATATACAAAAAAGCACTCATATATATATATATATATATATACATACACTACTAGTCAAAAGTTTGGACACACCTACTCATTCAAGGGTTTTTCTTTATTTTTATAATTTTTTACATTGTAGAATAATAGTGAAGACATCAAAACTATGAAATAACACATATGGAATCATGTAGTAACCAAAAAAGTGTTAAACAAATCAAAATATATTTTATATTTGAGATTCTTCAAATAGCCACCCTTTGCCTTGATGACAGCTTTGCACACCCATGGCATTCTGTCAACCAGGTGTGCCTTCTTAAAAGGTAATTTGTGGAATTTCTTTCCTTCTTAATGCGTTTGAGCCAATCAGTTGTGTTATGACAAGGTAGGGGGGGGGGGGTATACAGAAGATAGCCCTATTTAGTAAAAGACCAATTCCATATTATGGCAAGAACAGCTCAAATAAGCAAAGAGAAACGACAGTCCATCATTACAAGACATGAAGGTCAGTCAATACGGAACATTTCAAGAACTTTGAAAGTTTCTTCAAGTGCAGTCGCAAAAACCATCAAGCACTATGATGAAACTGGCTCTCATGAGGACCGCCACAGGAAAGGAAGACCCAGAGTTACCTCTGCTGCAGAGGATAAGTTCATTAGAGTTACCAGCCTCAGTAACATACACATCTCAACATCAAATTGGCTCTTGAAAGCTGTTGTCGCAACGATGACTGTCCCAAATATAGGCGAAGTTGGTCAAAAGGGTACACGACGGATGGGCAGGAATCGAGGAATCCGGGAGAAAGAGAGCGCGCTTGTTTGAAATGGAAAAGGATCGTGGTAGCTATTGATAAAGAACAACATCAAGACGAAGCAGCTGATTGATGCACTGTTGAGCGCTACATCCTGAGGGGTTAATGCTGATTGTACGGATATTGTGACAGCCGGTTAAATGGCATCCCTAGACAAGGCAAGAACAAGATGTATGTCAGGGGAAGTGCAGTACTATCATAAGGAGAGTTATACTTGGAGTACGGAGGAATGGAGGGAAAAAGAGAGGCAAAGGAGGTCTAAGAGAGAGAGGGAGGAAGAGGGTGAGCTTGAGTCAGTTAAAAATGGCAGGGAAAAAAGGGAGATGGTTTGCTAAAGAAGAATGGTAGAAAGGTGTAAGCAGAATGAGTTGAACACAGGAGGAGAAATGGAAGTGAATGAGGGTGAAGTATCGGAGGTGGTAGGTGTGGTGAAGTTCTCGGAGCCCGAGGTTTGCACCGAGGGTCAGGATAAAGATGAGTCTGTGACAGTAGGAGTGAAGTTTTGGGAAAATGTGAACCCTTGCCTTTTGGCTGATCCACTTGTGGTTTCAGGGTGGGTGAAAACAGATGCTGTGGAATCGGTGAGGGTAACCAGAAGTGGTCTAGTGATAATTGTTTGTGTTTCTGCTGGTCAGAGGGAGCAGGTGCTCCATGTTAAACGAATGGGGGCAGGAGATGTGAATTGTTTTGCTCTCAAGAAAAGGGCGCCATTGAAAGGTTTGATTACTGGGGTAGCGGTAAATGTGAAAGCTGACCAACTGAAGGGGAAGATTCCCGGTGTTTGTGATGCTCGTCGTTTGGTGCGACCCAGACAGGCGGGCGTGAGTGGAGAAACAGAAGAGTCATTGTCTGTTCTTTTGAGTTTTGATGTTGAGTCTTTGCCTGACAAAGTGATGTTAGGATATATAAGTTATTCGGTACAAGCTTTTGTGCCGAATACATTACGTTGTTACAGTTGTCAATCTTATGGGCATGTGGCAGCAGTGGGTAGGAGGGAGGTTCCTAGGTGTGAGAAGTGTGCAGAAGGGCATGAGACAAAGGAATGTGTAGCATTGGGGAAAGTAGTGATATGTGTTAATTGTAGGGGTGCCCCTTGGGCTGGGGATCCGAAATGTCCGGTGCGAGAGAGGCAGGTTGAGGTTTCCAGGGTTAGAGCAGTGCAGAAGTTGTCATGTGCTAAGGCAGTGAAGAAAGTAGAGGAAGATGGGTCAAGGGGGAGGGATCCTGATAGGAGTGGTGTGAGTAGTAGATCTGTACCAGTATATAATAAACCAACAAGTGATCAAGTGATATATGTTTCAGTAAGATTGGATTTTTGGCATTTATAACAATGGTTATCAACTGTACTGCAGGGATGGAACGTAAGTTGCAGAAAATACAGGTTGTGGTGGCAGCTGCAGAGAGGTATTTGGGTGTGTGAGACTTCACATCAGAAGAGTTACAAGGTGTGTTAAGTGGTGGTTTCCCATCCTTTCAGGCTGTTGGCCTGAAGTAGGAATAAATATATTTAAATAGTGGAGTATGGTGGTTATTATAATTTTTTTTGTGAGTGTAGTGTTAGATGGTAGGGTATTTTTTTGTATATTTTTAAGCAAAATATAAGGAAGTTATACTCCAGTCTAGTAAGTGGCGGTAATGCAACATTTGTTGGATGCCAACCGCCGTTAAATCTCATCGAAGAAGAAGAAGTTATCGTAACGATGCACAACATTTGAAGTCTTGAACAAGACCCTGCGGTTCCAACAACCGTTGAGAGAAGGATATGCTTGGTTTGTTACACTTCCGGTAGCGCAAATGTTGTTATGGTAACGTAAGCAAACCTTGATTCTGCTCCTCTTGAGGCTTTAGCTCAATCTCCATGTTTTTATGTATTATTTGCTAAATTAGCTTTCTTACCATCCAACGCACCATAATACATACGCAGTTAAAATGGAGGGAGCAGATACCGGAGGAAATACTTACCTCATTAGACCGAATTATCATCACAAGTAAGTTGCCACACTCAATGCTAACGGTAAAGTTAGCTAGCTAACGTTAGCTATGCAAGGAAAAGGCGAAGTGAGAGGTTTTACTCCGCCACGAAAATAATTTGGGTGGTGGTTGGAGGCTCGAAGGAGTAGTGGTTGGGAGGAAATGGTGACTGCTTGAATCTGAAAGTGCGGCAAGTGAAGTGTGTGACTATGAATGGAAAATAATGAAATCAAAGAATGGAACAAAACGAGTAAAAGTTGTAGTAGAAGACAAGGATCGGTCCCATAATGCATTTCTTAGGAATCAGTGGGAAAGGTGGATTCAATCAAGGTGAATAGAAGCGGCCTTGTTTTGGTTAATTGTGTTGATGAAGAACAGAAGAAGCGTGCACTGGATCTGGCAAAGTTGTCCACGTCAGAAGTAACATGTATTGATCTTCGGAGCAGGGCGCCTGCCAAAGGAGTTCTAGCGGGAGTCTCGTTGGAAATACACTACCAGTCAAAAGTTTGGACACAACTACTCATTCAAGGGTTTTCCTTTATTTTTACATTGTAGAATAATAGTGAAGACATCAAAACTATGAAATAACACATGGAATCATGTAGTAACCGAAAAGGTGTTAAACTAGTCAAAATATATGTTATATTTAAGATTCTTAAAATAGCCACCCTTTGCTTTGATGTCAGCTTTGCACACTCTTGGCATTCTCTCAACCAGCTTCACCTGGAATGCTTTTCCAACAGTCTCGAAGGAGTTCCTTTCTTTTTTGATAGTTTGGTATGATATTAGATTTATTTTTAACCACATCATATCCTTTTTTTGGGATCCTTATTCACCCGCACAGTAGGTGGCAGAATGTACATCAAATTGTTTTGCGAACGGCAATTATACCATAGAAGAAGAATTTGTCCTCATGGAAATGTGTACATTGTACAGCGACCCTGGAGCAATTTGGGTTAGCTAAGTGCACAGCGACAGATTCGTTTTTTTCTCCCACTCTGTCAGCTCCAGTATTTGAACCAGAAACCTTTCAGCTCTAGGCTACCTGCTACTCTAAAATAATTTGATGAAGTGACTCATTTTTGTATGGAGGTCAATGAGAGTGTTGAAGTAGGTCACCAAAAACATTGAACTGCTAATTCGGCACACGAGGCTTATTTTATCAAATAGAAGTTTCGCAATGGTTAGGTTGTTACTAATACACTGATGCACGTGGCATTTCGGGAACTAACCCCAAAACGACTTTGTATCAGAGTTGTGCCTGTTGTCATAGAGATCTGATAGAGGACTCATCATGGATATAACCCGTTTTAGCATTGCCATTGAGGGCTTCAACCATTTTAAAGTAATAATAATAATAATAATATGCCATTTAGCAGACGCTTTTATCCAAAGCGACTTACAGTCATGTGTGCATACATTTTTTGTGTATGGGTGGTCCCGGGGATCGAACCCACTACCTTGGCGTTACAAGCGCCATGCTCTACCAGTTGAGCTACAGAGGACCACGTAGTCAACTGGGTGGGGTTTCATATGAGTTGGGAGCAATCAGCCAATGAATAAGAATACAATTGACTACTTTAAAATGGCGATGGCCATACTATAACAGACGCTATAATGGCACAGATACAAAGACGAGTCCTTTATCTATGTCTAGGGCCTGTTGTTTACAGGCATATCTGCCCTCTCATTTGCTAGAATTGTCCTACCTGATCTCGCCTTCCATATTTGAGGACATAGTTCCATTGTTAGAGCGGTCACTCGAATATCTTGCCAATATAATATACATAGTTTGCAGTTCTGTAGACTAGATATATAGCTAGCTAAAAACTGTTTTTACTTGTTTGAAGCTAAATTAGTTGGCCATCTAGCTATCTAATATCTAGCCTAGCTAGTTAACGTTAGGTAGCTAGTTAGCAGGGCAGCCTGTTGTCTGTCTCTCTGTCTTTCCCTCCTCTTTATCTATCATTTTGTTTTTATTTCAGGTTCAAAGCAGCTGTTGTGAAGGAGTGCATTCGTGATATCCTGAGAGAACAACTCTCTGGGGTGCAATATGATCCGGATGAGGTCGCCGTTCTGTCCCGTTCATTAGCAGATTGCATAAAGCGCAAACTGAAGGGTGAGAAACTACTCAGCCGTTACAAAGCCTCTAACTGGGGCTGACATTGTGAAACAACTCTTATCCTAATAAGATGAGTAAATGTATAGCAATGAGAATGCCCTCATCCAACTCTAAGTCTTCAAGACTTTTCTATAAACTAGGGTGTCAGTGAGGATTTCCTGCGGTGGACAACTTGTTACAGCTGTTAAGTCATTGATAATAATCTGCAAAAAAAAAGAAAGAAAATCATGTCATTACATTAAAGATATAAGGGGGAAACATGGCTACATTTAATTAAATTCACGAGTTGATTTAAAAACTATGTTTAACCCTTTCTCATGGTTGATGTCTTGACAGATTTGTCCAAAATCGTTTGACATAAAACACTACTTTTCTTACCTTGCATTTATAGCAGTGTTGTTTGGCCTTATTAAGCATGTATCCGTTTAAAAATAAGTCCTGGGTGCTTTGATAGCAATAGACAACAAGAAATCCACAAGGGCCGACCAACTGGATCCTGGTCTGCTTATGTGTGCAGCGCCCATCATTGTTGGCTCAATAACGCACATTTTTTATTTAACATTGTTATCAGGAAATATTCCAAAAGTATGGAAATCTGCTCTTGCGCTACAACTCCATAAGGGCAGGGATAGTAGTGATCTTAATAATTATCGCCCCATTTCAAGGCTTCCTTGTCTATGATTCTCACATCCTTGGTAAATGTACAACTTTGCTATTTTTTTTATCTGAGAAATGTATTTTGATATAAATCAATCAGGGTTTAGGCCTGGGCATAGTACTATTACAGCAACCACTTTAGTTGTTAATGATCTTGTCAATACTTAAGACACTAAAAGGAAGTGTGCTGCTTTGTTTGTGGACCTGTCAAAAGCTTTTGATAATGTTGAACTATTTTATTGAATAAGTTCTACTCGATAGGCCTGAGCTCTGACGCCTGTTCATCGTTTCATGATTATCTTGTTTACAAAACTCAGGCCATCGTGATGGATGGGGTTAAGTCTGAATTTCTTGAAGTACATAAAGGTGTACCACAGGGGTACATTTTGGGACCTCTTCACTATTTCTATAAACACCATTGGTCAATCTGTGATTTAAAGAAAACAATTTTTTACTTAATCTATATGCAGATGATACTATTATGTATGCTATTGCCCCGGCTGTTGATCTGACTGTTTCAAAACTACAGTCAGATTTTATATCTATGCAGGAATCCCTTGCTGATTTAAAACTTGTGCTTAATACGGGCAAAATGAAATAAATGTTGTTTTTAAACTCTCGTAAGAATGTTTCAGATATGGTTAAGCGAGCAGTGTGTCAAGAAGCAGTGCAGCTTGGCAGGGTCGTGTTTCGGAGGACGCATGGCTCTCGACCTTCGCCTCTCCCCAGTCCGTAGGAGAGTTGCAGCGATGGGACAAGACTGTAACTACCAATTGGATATCACGAAATTGGGGAGAAAAAATTAATTAAATAAAAACATTTGAATGTTTCAGATGACCTACATGTTCACTCATTAGATGGTTCTCCAATCGAACGTGTTCCCGCATATAAATATTTTGGCATTTGGGTTGATATGGATTTGACGTTTAAAAAACATATAGATGAGCTGGTTAAGAAGCTAAGATTTAAAGTTTTCTTTTTCTACAGCAGTAGGAAGCAGATTATTCAGTCAACCTTTCTACCTGTTCTTGATTATGGTGATATTATTTATCAAAGTGCAGCTGCTACTACTCTTAAACCTTTGGATGCCATCTACCATAGTGCCCTTCGTTTTGTTACAGGCGACAGTTTTGATACTCATCACTGCATCCTGTATCAAAAGGTTGGCTGGACTTTCCTCAAGACCCTTAGATCTCTACATTACCCCCTTTCTGTTTCCAAGGCCCTACTTCATAAACTTCCGTCTTATCTAACTTTGCTGTTGAAGTACAGACACCTGAGTTGCCTAACCTGTTCACAGGATTGGTTAACTATTGAGGTTCCTAGGGTCTCCACCGAGGAGGTAAATCTGATTTTAGTTTTAATGCACCATATTGCTGGAACAAAATTCAAAAAACATTTCATCTTGATGTTCTGGTGCCGTTCGGGCAGTTTAGAGTATTGATTGGGGATTTATTTGTGGATGAATGTAACTGTTTTTCTTGGGGATTTGTGATTTTATATTTGTGATATTTACGATCAACCCCTCTCCTCTTCTGCAAGTCTCCCCCTGACGGCTGTCAATAAGGACATTTCTCAGTTTGTCTCAATTTACCTTCTAACAAAAAAGGTTAATGACAATGATCTCTCTCTCCAATGATAGATGTGGGCTTTGACCGATACAAGCTGGTGGTACAAGTGGTTATTGGAGAGCAGCGAGGAGAAGGTGTCAAGTGAGTGATGTGGCATTTGCTCCTCTATACCATTTAGATAATATGCATGGAGGATGTGGCACTGGCTCCTATACCGTTTGTTTTCCTTTCTCCCAAGCTACTATTTGTGGATCCAATTCCAAGACCATCTTAGACCATCTTTTTAGTTCATTTTAGTCTTATGGACCCCACTTATCCCAAGTCTTATGGACCCCACTTATCCCAAGTCTTATAGACCCCACTTATCCTAATAGAAATACAATGTCATTGTTGAACAATAGAAGTGAACCAAGGTACCCTGAAGGTTTTAGTAGTTGTATAGGGTGTACCCTTACAGGCTATACCATAGCTCTAGACTGAAAGCGGCTGTACTCTGTGTCCTATACCTTTATCAGGGAGCATGCACGCCATCTAGTGGTAGCTTTTAATGTCAAAATGCATTATGTTGGTCTCTGTGGTCCATGTATTCTGATTTTCCAAAGCTTGTTTATGTGTATTAAAGTTAATTAAGAGGAACTGATTACTTTCTTCCTGTCTCACCAGGATGGCTGCCAGGTGTTTCTGGGATGCTGACACAGACAGCTACGCTCAGGACATTTTTATGAATGTAAGCGTTTTTATCTTCAAGTCTGGTATGAGGAATTGACATTTTTTGATAGAGTCCATGATAATGACTACTTTCTCTCCTCTTCAGGACAGTTTGTTCTGTGTGGCGGCTGCTTTCGGCAGTTATTACTACTGAGGACAAAAGAAGATGGGATGATTTTGCAATAGCTTTGCTTTTAAAAAGCATGTATTTGCATAATTGCTTTGACACAAGAAATGTGACTGAACTTTTAATGAGAGTGCTCCACATAAGACATCTGTCTCTGAGATCCAGGGCCCGAATCCACAAAACATCTCAGAGTAGGAGTGCTGATCCAGGATCAGTTTTTGCCATTTTTAGATCATCGTGAATAGGATTACATGGACGGATCCTAGATCACCACTCCTACACTGAGATGCTTGGTGGATTCGGGCCTAGAACTCGCTCTTTCCCCGGAGAAGATGCACTGTGCAATTTTTGTTGTTTTTGTAAGAAGCAGCAAATGACAGTTGAAATACTCTTGACAGAAAGAAGGACTGTGGCCATGCTTAACTGCAGAGGAAAACGAGACAGGTACTGTTTTATTCATACTGCTGTCAGGCCAACCTGAGAATAAAACATGCATAACCTACATACATACTGTAGCTGTAACATGGGGTTAAATGCAGTCTACCAATGTTTTCTTTCTAATGTATGTCATTTTACATCACCCTTATTGCTGTTTTGTATACAAGATTAGTTTATTAAATTGAATTAATTTCAAATATATTGTCTATTTGACTTGTCATTGGGTACTGCAATTGACTCTCTAATTGAATACAGACATCCTTGCTAATGAGGAAGGCATGAACAAATGAGCAATTGTTAACTTTCTATCTTGTAGCCATAGATGCATGCACTTTATGTAGCTAGGTTTAGTTATCCAGCTAGTTCCCCAGTAATTACCTGGAAGCCATACTGCTTAAGTTAGCGAACTTTGCAGCTGGGTCCTCAGTACACTTTCGACATTGTGTTATTGTGTATCTCTCACCACTCAAATGTGTCGTGCGGCTCAGTTGGTAGAGCATGGTGCTTGCAAAACCAGGGTTGTGGGTTTGATTCCCACTGGGGACCAGTATAGGAAAAAGTACAAAAATGTTTCTACTTGCTACTGTAAGTCGCTCTGGATAAGAGCAGTCAGCTAAATGTAGTAACACACAATTGTCATTTAGAAGACACTCTTATCTAGAGCGACTTACAGTAGTGAGTGGATAAAAAAAAAAGTTATGCTCCCCCGTGGGAATCGAACTCACAACCCCAGCACTGCAAGCACCATGCTCTACCAACTGAGCTGCACGGGACATTTAACCACTCATAGAAATGTCAGTGTTGTTAGAAACTATATAAAAACTGTTTGTTAAGGCGTCCGCATGCTTCCCAGCCGAAACAGTTCGGAAGACTTCGTGCATATATTACGACAACATTTTGTGACGTTTTTGTTCGTTTTGGACTTGGGTGAGGGGGTTTTCGGGCTGTTCGGTTACACTAATTTTTTTCCGGAGGCAAGCCGACGACTGTAGCCAGCCACTCCTCGATTGTCCAGTGTTGGTGATCAACTGGAGCCGCTTCTTGTTTTTAGCTGATATGTATGGAACCCGGTGTGGTCGTTTACTGCAATAGTCCATCTGTGACAAGGGCCGACGAGTTGTGCTTTCCGAGATTATTTTTGTCTGACCTTTTTCTGTCAGTTCAGCTTTGTTCCCTTTGGTGCACTTTGCTCTAGTCTAGACTAAAGAGCTCTAACAAGTTGCCATTTTAAAGGAGGTTTCGTCAGATCACTAGAAGAATGACCGTGAAGGGGTGAGTATGTGGAACTGAAAATGATCTTGATGAGGATTGCAATATTGGTGAGTCGGTCTTGGACTTTTAAAACAATTTGACTGCACATAATTATGTTTAATAGAAATGTATAGTGTATACCCATAAGTGAGGATTTCAGTGCAACTTGCATTGAGGTCACCACTTGCTGCAATACTTGCTGTAAATTGTTGTTTCGCACAAAGACTTGACAAATATGGATTTCTACAGGAAGAGTACCATCTGTAGGTTATATGCCCATTGACAGAATCTCATCTGTATGTGTATGTGTCGCCAGTGGAATTATGTGTTATTTCATAGTTTTGATGTCTTCACTATTATTCTACAATGTAGAAAATAGTACAAATAAAGAAAAACCCTTGAATGAGGAGGTGTGTCCAAACTTTTGACTGGTACTGTGTACAGTGGGGGAAAAAAGTATTTAGTCAGCCACCAATTGTGCAAGTTCTCCCACTTAAAAAGATGAGAGAGGCCTGTAATTTTCATCATAGGTACACGTCAACTATGACAGACAAATTGAGAAAAGAAAATCCAGAAAATCACATTGTAGGATTTTTTATGAATTTATTTGCAAATTATGGTGGAAAATAAGTATTTGGTCACCTACAAACAAGCAAGATTTCAGGCTCTCCCAGACCTGTAACTTCTTCTTTAAGAGGCTCCTCTGTCCTCCACTCGTTACCTGTATTAATGGCACCTGTTTGAACTTGTTATCAGTATAAAAGACACCTGTCCACAACCTCAAACAGTCACACTCCAAACTCCACTATGGCCAAGACCAAAGAGCTGTCAAAGGACACCAGAAACAAAATTGTAGACCTGCACCAGGCTGGGAAGACTGAATCTGCAATAGGTAAGCAGCTTGGTTTGAAGAAATCAACTGTGGGAGCAATTATTAGGAAATGGAAGACATACAAGACCACTGATAATCTCCCTCGATCTGGGGCTCCACGCAAGATCTCACCCCGTGGGGTCAAAATGATCACAAGAACGGTGAGCAAAAATCCCAGAACCACACGGGGGGACCTAGTGAATGACCTGCAGAGAGCTGGGACCAAAGTAACAAAGCCTACCATCAGTAACACACTACGCCACCAGGGACTCAAATCCTGCAGTGCCAGACGTGTCCCCCTGCTTAAGCCATTACATGTCCAGGCCCGTCTGAAGTTTGCTAGATTGCATTTGGATGATCCAGAAGAGGATTGGGAGAATGTCATATGGTCAGATGAAATCAAAATATAACTTTTTGGTAAAAACTCAACTCGTCGTGTTTGGAGGACAAAGAATGCTGAGTTGCATCCAAAGAACACCATACCTACTGTGAAGCATGGGGGTGGAAACATCATGCTTTGGGGCTGTTTTTCTGCAAAGGGACCAGGACGACTGATCCGTATAAAGGAAAGAATGAATGGGGCCATGTATCGTGAGATTTAGAGTGAAAACCTCCTTCCATCAGCAAGGGCATTGAAGATGAAATGTGGCTGGGTCTTTCAGCATGACAATGATCCCAAACACACCACCTGGGCAACGAAGGAGTGCCTTCGTAAGAAGCATTTCAAGGTCCTGGAGTGGCCTAGCCAGTCTCCAGATCTCAACCCCATAGAACATCTTTGGAGGGAGTTGAAAGTCCGTGTTGCCCAGCGACAGCCCCAAAACATCACTGCTCTAGAGGAGATCTGCATGGAGGAATGGGCCAAAATACCAGCAACAGTGTGTGAAAACCTTGTGAAGACTTACAGAAAACGTTTGACCTGTGTCATTGCCAACAAAGGGTATATAACAAAGTATTGAGAAACTTTTGTTATTGACCAAATATTTATTTTCCACCATAATTTGCAAAGAAATTCATTAAAAATCCTACAATGTGATTTTCTGGATTTTATTTCCTCATTTTGTCAGTCATAATTGACGTGTACCTATGATGAAAATTACAGTTCTCTCTCATCTTTTTAAGTGGGAGAACTTGCACAATTGGTGGCTGACTAAATACTTTTTTGCCCCACTGTATATATACATATATATGTACATATATATATGTATATGTATGTACAGTACATTCGGAAAGTATTCAGAACCCTTAACTTTTTCCACATTTTGTTGCATTACAGCCTTATTCTAAAATGGGTTAAATAAATAAAAACATCTCATACATCTACACACAATACCCCATAATGACAAAGCGAAAAACAGGTTTGTAGAAATCTTTGCACATTCAAAAAAAATGAAAAACAGATACCTTATTTACATACGTATTCAGACCCTTTGCTATGAGACTCGAAATTGAGCTCAGGTGCATCTTGTTTCCATTGATCATTACATTTACATATATATAAATATATATATAGATGTGTGTGTGTGTATGGTTCTCATGGAAATAAGTAATGTTTTAGGAGGATCAGTCAGTGCTTTGATATTACACCTCAATGTTAAAAATTCTATTTTTGGTAAGTTGGAGCTTTGAGCTGGTGTAGAACAGTAGGAGCCACCACTCTCAGTCTCTGTAGAGAACCAGCTGAATACAAATTAGGATGGAGGTGCAGCTAGCAACTATCTGGCAGTCTAATGTATTGTGACCCTCATGGTTTCTAAGCTTATTACAGTTTTCTTTCACTTGTAACGTAGCATCTTACATTCAAAACCATTAATTGTGCATTCCTTCTACCACACAACCATTGATCCAAAGTATAAATTTACTGTGAAATATAATGAAAACATTGGTTTAATCAACAAAACACTATCCAATAGCAAATCCAATTGCAAAAAATTCAAGAAAATTGCCCTTTGAAGTGCTGAAAGTGATATGCTTAAGTACTGGATATTATAGTACATTACATTGTTTTCATATTAGGCAATACCCATGCACTACCCAGTGGCGGCTCCTGAAAAAATTCTCAGGGGGGGCAATTTTTCTGATGATTTAGGTGACCTACACACATTTAAAAAAAGATATGTCCAGCAACAACATGAAGACAGGGGCAGCATATAAGTCAATACTGATATACACATTACTTGCTTCAAAAAGGCCTCATGGTTGAATTGGAAATATGTGCACCTGAGCATAATTCACAACAAGCAAGCAGGAGCTTTTGATAGAGGCTACAAAAAACATTGATGCAAGTTATTGGTAATAAGAAATTTTTATAGACTTCCATATTCTGCCCTCTTGTATAGATTTGTGAAAATGAACAGTGATAGACATTTTGCCTGAAAACAGAATTTGAAAATAATTTCTAGAAAAGGTAAACACAGCTATCTGTATGGCTTTGTAAAAATGAACAACCATATTCTGGCCAATTGTATAGATTTGTAAATATGAACAACCATATTCTGG